CCCAGCCTTATTTCCAAGTTATAAAAATTGTTATCGTACAAAAGAATTCGTCGCAAAAATATCAACAACGCAAAACATCATTGAAAACAATCGCAATAATGAAAGATTTCGGGATTGCGGTCCGGATCCGCACCGGAATGTTTTTAATTTGCTCACGGGGTTGGCCTGATTTCAAAATGATATGATATGTTGTGCTACGGCCTTATAGGATTCAAATTGAAATAGTGTGACACACTGACATTTGCACTTATTACATATATATATATATATATATATATATATATATATATATATATATATATATATATATGTGTGTGTGTGTGTGTGTGTGTGTGTGTGCGTGTTTAGAGAGAAAGAAACAGAGAGATTGCATCCTCCTTTCATCTTTTCACTAATCTTCGCACAACAATGTGCACGTATATGACTCGACAGTCCAACCACGTGATCGCTTGCAGATATGGCGTTTAAACTGTCCACCTTTCGTGGTTACCGGCTCGATTTTGCATGCAACCGGCCGAAATTCGATATAGTTACTGTCGCCACTGCTAAGAACCTTGGTACCACTAAAAACGAAGTTGTTTTATTTTTCAACTATATAATTAACGAATTATTTCATATTCAACGCGTAACTGAATGAATCAAAATATATCATTTCACCCATCAAACTCTATCGCAACTACAATTGAAAAGAATTTATCTAAGCTCAGCATAAAATGTGTTACAATTATTTTTGAAACAATAAAAATTTAATTAATACAATACAAAATAATAAGCTTGAAAGGTAAATTCTCTATCACCTGTAATGATTGCCATAAGGAATACATTGGAGAAACCTCAAGGAATTTAAATAAAATCCATTTTATTGTAATGTAGAATCTATTTTACATATTTATAAGTTTACCATTCGTCCTTGCTTTGAATACTGTTGCCACATCTAATTTGGTGCTCCTGATATATATTTAGAGATTCTTGATAATATCCAAAGTTGAATATAAAATTTTAATAATGACATATCGGCTCCAGTCACTCCGTCGTATTTAAATTTCCTGCACCTTTTCTATAAATGCTTTCACGTAAATTGTTCCGATAAATTTCCTCTATGGTACCTTGTGCCACATTTTTTGTCATTATACAAAAATAAATATATTTCCTCTATGGTACATAGACTTTATGAATTTAAGCGCAGTACTAGATTGGCAGCTAGGTCTAATCATTTTACAGATGAAATGGCTAGATATAATTGTAAGTTCTATGTTACCAGTTTCTTAATCTGATAAGTATGTTCATGGTAATTGTTCTAATGAGCTTTCCTCTATGGTAGCTAATTCATAAATTTAAGCAGGGTACTAGATTGTCAGCAAGGTTTCATCATTTTACAGTTGAAATTGCTAGATATAACCGTAAGTTCTATGCTAATAGTTTCTTCTGTCGCTCTTCCAGCTTGTGGTACCCTCTTCCGATTTCTTGCTTTTCAGCCAACATTGATCCTCAAAAATTTAAATGCGATGTCAATCGTTATCTACTGTTTTCTTAATTCTCATTCTTTTAATGTTATCTCTCATTAATAGTTTTTTTTCTTATATTCTCTAACACTCAAAAATCTCTTGCATCTTAGTGGCTTTGTTGCCTTTCTTAGGGTGAAATGATTAAAAAAAAAAGATTATATGAATATAAAAGTTATCTTTTACAAAACTAAAAACTAACTACTTCACCGTCAGGTGTCTGACTATAGTTTTGACTTTAGAAATATAAACCTAATTAAAAGAGAAAGCAATTCACTGAGACAAAAATGTATAGAAAGTGCTCTAATCGCTACATCATCCACAGTAAATTTAGCATCCTTGAAACAGTTCACCTTTATTGGCAAATCTACTATTATCACAATGTGGGATATTTAATAAGAAAAATGATCGAAATGTTATAAAATAAATTAAGGCATATCTCGGCTGATTTACAGGAAAATAAACTAACATATTCAAGAGCGAGAGCCGGATGTGAACGGGACAAGGCCCCGTCACAAAATGACTATTATCTTCGTTTATGCATGTTCCTGACGTGCGAGTTCCGGTCGAAAAATAAAATAATATTTTAAAGTGTTTCTATTTTTCGACCAATAAAAATGCTTCCCTCCTAATTGTACTCGCATCGTTTTTAGAGCCTGTTAAGCCATAAAAACGCCATAAAAGGGGTCACACGGGGAAGTACTGGCAGTCAACAGGAGGCCAGGGAAGAGATCTGTCACGGTCAGTCTGGGCAGTTAGCAGCAGTCAGCAGAAGGAGCGCCACGCAAACCCGCGAGAACTACTATGAGAGATCAACCCAGATCGGCGGCCGGCTTATGAACTATACCACAAGGTAGCTGTCCCAAACCCACACGTTCCTGTTGAAATAAATCACGTAAATCTATTTCTACTGTTGTAGTATTTCTTTCTTGCAACCATACGCTTGTCTATAACAGAAACATGAACAAAATGAGATTAAAATAAAATCGGCTAGACTACGTAACAAAACATATTTTCAAAAATAAATTTCAATTAAAAATTTCCAGCATTTTTCGTTCTTGCGCATGCGTAGTCGCATCAACGTAAGCAGCACTTTCCTTCAATGAACTTCTAAAGGACGAAACGCTTAACACGAAAACATTTCCCACATTGCCATAGCTTTTTCTATGAAATTGTTCTTGATATATAAAAAAATGATATATTGTTTTGCCATAATTAACTAAATATTTTAAATATTTATTCGCAAATGCGGCAATATTTGCATTTAAACGTAGTCTATGGGGAATAATTCTTGAAAAATACTATGAGAGTTATTTCCCTTTGTAAACCAATGTAAATGCCTATTGAATTTTTGTTTTTCATAGCGAAAGAAACCTCTCTTATCACCATATATTAAATTTTTAGCTATTGGCAACTTTCTGATTGTAACCAACTTTATTTTATAATCTGTAAATGATATTTATCTACTTAATAACACCATTGACTAAGCTGTACAAGATTTTCATTAATTTTAGAATATTTAACAACTTTAACGTAAAAAAAATAAAATAATTTAATAAATAACAAATAATTGTTGTAAAAATTTATTTTTCATCGAAAACGTTTTTTGCTTTCAGAAAATATTATCCATATTCATACAAACAAGTAAAAGCAACTAAAAGCTTTAAATAATATCTTTGTTTTATTGTTGTAGAGTGGTTTTACAGTGGAGTCTTGTATTTGTACTAAGTCGGTCCTAAAATAGGTTCGACGTACAAAACGTTCCGAACTTGATATAATAGGTAATGACTAAGTAATCTAGTTGTGGTGGCTGATACTTTAATATCCGACTAACGGTCGTCCGACATCGACTGACTGACCCTGAGCGACTGCTACTACCCCTACTTATTATAGGTGGGAGAGTCTATTAACAATAGAATAGGTGTGTTCCACTATAACATTTATTGAGTTTTGTATGTTACAATTCAGAGCTGATTTTAAGGTCGAAGGGTGTCAACTAAAAAAAATGATTTGCTTTCCTCAAAGCCTTGTGCTTTTAACTAATTAATCACTAAAACTGTACAAATTAGAATTTCATGAGTTTTCATAAAATTAATTATGGGGGGGAATAAATATAAAAAAATTTACGATGACTTTAAAAAAAAATAAACCTATTTATAATATTTTCCATCATTTGTGAATAGGTTCTGAAAATTTCATTAAATTCTGAGAATTATTTTTATTTTTGCAAGATTTTCAAAATTAATGAATGCCATTAAAAAAAAAAGTACACAAAAATCCGCCATATTATTTAGTAGGACACTTGTTGATGAAGAAAAATGATGTTTTTCAATCAAAAGTTAGAATGCTCTAATAAAGACAGAAAAATTTTGAAAAATAATTAAAAATTACTTTGTTCTTTCCTCTTAATAAAAACAAACATTTTGACGATAAAATTTTGTTTTCGTCAAGTTTAAGGCTATTATTATCCTGCTATGCCCATTTTCCAGCGATCTCGTGGCGGTACCTAGAACATTTTGTAGATTTTATTATAAATACAATGTTTCGGCCAAGTGTCTTCAGTCCTTCTTCAGCTGTCCATTATTTTTAATCTCTTTTGATAATTTTGTTTGATTTCTTTTTGTTTTCTATTAGATCGCGATAGCTAATTGGGAGAAGTGATTAAATATACTTTAATGTTTTTAAAAAAGCTGTTTGGTATTATTATTGTTTAGGTAATAAGCATTTATAACATGGAACAACAAATAGCTATATTGTGCAAAAAGGAATTTTTGACAATATACACATTTTTTTACATATGGTTATTCTTTAACTTTTACCAAAAACAACATTCTCGTACATATGGATAATATTATACATTAATTACTATTTTTTTTTAAATTAATAACTATTTGTGCTCAGTTGTTGACATTAATAGCTATCTGCTGATGTGTTAAAATTTTGGAATAAGTGTAGTGTGATGTTGTGAAGTCAGACGTATAAGAAACGCATGTAAGGTTCAGATTCTCCTGCTCGCCGGGCCCAACTACATAAAAAGGTTGGACTTTGATTAAGTCCAAAGAAGAAGGCAAAGAAAGCAAACAAAACACAAGACCGATATTATATGTATATACAAATATATATATTAATAACAAGTTACAATACATGGAAACAGTACGTAAGATGAAGTGTATGTGAATATTCTGTGTGTGAATATTCTGTATGTGCTTGCGTGTGTATTGTGCTTAGCGTGTTTCCACGCTATCCCTTGTTAGCGCCTACATTCGAGGTTGATAGCTGAAATCCTGAGGAAAAGGAGAGATTTACCTCAAGGTGTCAGCGCACAGGCCTGAGGGAAAAAGAGAAAAAGGCGAAGGGTCAGCGGCTATTTATAGCCAGGGAAGAGAGACCCCTGGTGAAAGGGTTACGAACTGAAGGAGGAGTTAACTCCGACAAATGCAATAATAACATTTTAAATTTCATTTCTCTGACAGAAGTCACGGTCTGTTGCTGAGGAGAAGGTGAAATAAGTTTGAAAAGAGATCAGAAGGCTTTTTAGAAGAAATGTTCTTTGTGAATTAGTTAAATAAATGTTTTGTTTAATATGAATATTGTGAGAATGTGTTTGGCAAAATAGAAATTTGAATATTTACTTGATGTTTCAAGAAGAAATCTGATACTAAATAAAATTTAGTTTTTGTATTTCTGAAAATAAAATAAATATTGCCGCTAAAAGAAAATGCTCACAAAGAGCAAATAAATAGAACTGAGTGATAAGTTTCTTGAATAATGTCCTGGATAGCTGAAAATATCTTCGGTAAACTTGTAGCTTCAGGAAAAACCTAATAAAAAAAAGATAATTTTGGCGGTTTTTAACCGCTAAGTCTAAAAGATGTATGCATGTAAGAATCGTTTTTCCAAACCGTCTGGCTTTCTTAAAAATAAACTTCTCTCAAAAGAATGTGTACAAAAAACTAGACGATTAAACATTTATTTACTACATCCGCATCCCTTGAGGACGTAGGCGATAATGGCCCTCCATATCCTCCTGTCTCTTGTAACTCTTAATAAGTTTGATCTTTTTGTTATTTCTCTCAGATCCTGTTCCGCCATCCAATTTGCTCAATCCCATTAAGTATATCACGCGTTGCTTTCCCCTGTCAATCTTTCCTTCTATGTATCCTGTGAGTATCAGATTTTACAAGCCTTCCTTCCTTGCTCCAGAAATTTCAACAGCCTTTTTCTTATGTTAAGTATTAGTTTCTTTTTTGTTTCCATTCTCTCCAAAACCTCATATGTTCGGTCAATGGTATCCTCAGCATCTTTCTGTAGAATCACATTGCTTCAAGTCTCTTCTTCATATTTGAGGAGATTATCCAGCATTCGCTGCCATACAGGAAGACAGATATCACGTAAGAGTTCAGTACTCTTTTCTTTGATTCCAGCGAAATTTTTCTGTCTCTTACTGAGCTGCCATTCTCCTACATCTAACGCAGTTGTGTGCCAAAGCCTGGGTCTCCGCGAATGGTTTCTTGGTGTGCTCATCATGTTGGGCGTTTTAACCTGGCTAAGCCCATCCCTCTCTAGATTAGACCACAGTCGATGTTCTCCAACTAGGTGGCTAGCTTTGGTCGAAAACACGTGGCCGTTGTAGTTCATCTGAGGAACCCTTCCGCTTTGGCAGATGACCTGCGTCGAGTGGGCCCTTTTCCTAATGGTGCCGTGTTAACACTGTTACAAATTCATGACGGTCGTCCTCGAGTATAGAATCCAGAGGTTGGCAGTGAATATTTCGGAGACAGTAGGAAAGCGTAGTTTAGGTTCGCAGTGGATATCGCAGCAAAGTAGCAGAGCGTAGTTTTCCGTCTGTCATGTTTGTTGTTGGCTCTAGGTCATTCCGGTAGGGTAAAACAAAGATGGCCGCCTTTATACACGACGGATACAATGTTCTGCGGCTTCTGATTGGTCAACCTTCTATTGGTAGACTATAAAGGGAATTAAGTCATTTTGACTAACTCACTAGTTACACACATATATACACAAAAAACTGTAACAAACACCACATCCTCACGAATTTAGCTCGCCAGTTGAAGCGGTTTACCGGGGCATAGCAACTTGGAGCCATCACGTGATAGATTTAGATGTTTCAGGACCACTGACACCCGTCCACTCGAAGGTGCAGCATGCCAGACATCAAACGTACTGCCTCTATCTAGACCCCACTATGCCCATCTACATAATGATTGTGAATGCCAGTGTGTTACTGCGTTACACTTTTTCGGCTTAAAAGGATACAACTCTTTAAATTTCAATAGCTTATTTCAAATGAAAAAAAAATACTGTTTTCAAATTACAGTGTGTCTCAAAATAAAATTCTTCGTGTTTTCAACTTTACTCCTGGAGGCTGGAGCCCAAAATATCATACTGGTGTTTACTTTGCCAAACCTGGTTTTAAAAAAAATGAGTGATTGGTTGATTTTTGACCAATAATATAACACTCCTTTCAATATTTTTCCCGCTCTTGTTCCTAGAGCCTATCCAGAAAGTATAAATAACACGAAAATCAAAGAAAAGAACAGTAGTAGAACAGTAAATCTCCAGAGCTCAACCACGTACGTGAATTCTAATTCTTCTACTCACACACACAGACACAAAATTACAATTGCACTACGCTGTAAACTGTCTGTCCAAAAAGCCAAGTAATTAACTCAGAATTCTATTATTATTCTGTACAACTTTCTCATACTTAAACTCAGTTATCACATATTGCTGAACTCTGAACATTTTAAACAAGAAAGTTCTTTTAAAACACATATTTAAAATCTCACATCAGTACAAGGGGAACTACTTCCTCTTTCTTAATTTTGTTTCACCAAACACAATTGTTGTACTCGCTTGTTTTTCAATTCATGTTATTGTTGATTACTGAATAATCTCTTGTTATTCCTTCTTTGTGTTTCTTTGTAAAATTTAAATGTGATGTGCTAATCAAAAACGCAACCTTCACCAAAGCCTTCTTAACAATTTTATACCAAATCTCATTAGCACGCCACAATACCATTTTAGAATCAGACCGACTCCGTAAGCAAATTAAGAATATTCCAGGCCGAATCCGGATCCAAAATCCTGAAATTTGGGATTCCCAACTTTTCATTACCGCGATTGTTTTCGGCGATATTTTTACGTGATTTTGGGGGACGAATTTTTTGTACCATAACATTTTTTATAATTTGGAAATAAATTTGAGAATAATCCAAATTAATTGTGAAATCCAGTGAAAGTCACCCATGAAATAAAAATAATTGTTTGTACGGAAAGTAAGGACCTACGTACATCAAATTGTCTTTAAATTAAATGGTGACAGAAAGATTCTCGTAGAACTTTTAAAAGGTAAGCTTAAATACTAATGTAATACTTAAATGCAGCGATCAATTTTGAGTTCTTCTGTAGCTTATTGTTGCCTATCTTATCTACTCCTCCCTACCTATTGTGATGAAGGCCCAACCAAGAGTCCTCCACTGGAGCTTGCTTAACTGCTGCTCGATAAATGTACCACTTTAAGAAATATTATTTAATATTTTATATGTTATATTGTAGATTCGTCCTTTTCTACCTTATCACCCCTAGTAACAGAACAGTCTATACCTTACGCCTACGTACGGAAAAATTCAACCAATAAAAAACCGTACTAGGCGAATCAACAAATCTGATTGGTTAACGACACAATAATCTGAAAGTTTCACGTGCAAAACGAAATTGCGCCAAAACTTCTTTGAGCCGATTTTGGACTTTCAAAAACATATAAAAGAAAATACCGACTGACCAAAAGTGTGAGAGATGAATATCCACAGAGAAATTGTCAACATACTCCACGTCACTCGAAATCACGACTTTACCGCGCAAAAGTACATCAACGCTGACTCACTTGCAATTTAAACTCGATCAACTCTGTGGACATCAAATCGCAAACCGAAAACAACTTTGCTTATCCAAAGTGAACTATACTCACTACATTATTAAGTAAAAATCAACATTCGAACGATTCAGAAATATTACAGTCAAAGGTAGACCACTCTATAAGAACTTATTCCTAAAAACACTTAACATCGACATTTTTAATATTAATTAACACAATTCCAGAAAAACTGTAACTGAAGCACAAAGAAGCTACGTTATGGTGGTGGGGAAGAGATGCTAGTCCAGGACATTGCAGATTCTTCTTTGGATGTTATCAAGGATAACATAGAAAAAAAAAACACCAAACCAAATACAAAAAGAGACATACCGAAACCTCAAATATCACACACACTTTGCCATAGTAACATATACCAAAATATCCTGTATATATATATTACTTTTAATTGTATATAAATGTTTTGTTGGTTTCTAAATTGAATATGTCTTGTTTTTTATTGTATTTAAAATTCGTTTATTTATTTGTTTGTGGATGCAGAAAGTCACGCAACCTACACAAATTCCTTCTGATTCACTCAATTACAATTAATTAATTCTGCACATCCCCAACAATATCGTCTGCAAGCCTGGAATACTTTGTTTGGTCACGTGGTCATCTATTGTGTATTTATTTATAGTTTTACTTTAGTCTGGCATAAGCCATTTTGAATATTGACTTTTACGACATAAAGACTTGTTACAACACAATCTTTCTACCCTTATTCTCTCTAATTGACTTTGTATCAGACTAAAGTAATTTTAAATTTGTATCACGAGTCACGGTGGAGTAGTAATGGATAGCGACTCGGATTCAGAAATCAGAGTTCGAATTCCAGTCAGATCTCTTACATTCACTTACGTGCTAATATGCTAGGGAAAAGGTATGAATCCTCTTCTAACATGACAAAACAGGGTAAATGACATGACAGACCGGGTTCTATAGCCTTGGGTGGGAACTGGTCTACCGCAGAAAGAAATGGCAATCTAATGCGGGAAAAAATCTGCCTCGTCAGTCATGTATCGAAAGATACATGATCGCCTAAGCGTGTATCACACTGCACATAACTGACTGACTGATCACCCGCAATTTTTAAGTGGCAATTTTAGAGGGTAATTTTTTGTTATGCACCGGATAAAACTTTGACTGAACACCGGTAACTTCCTTCGCGACAGTTTTCCCACCTTTCAAAACAAATCTTTTCCAACGGAATTATTTCTTTAACTGAATTTAACTTTACTTTTGAATTTCTTTATTGATTTTCGCGTTAGTTTCTGTTGATTAAGAATCCCTTCGAGTCTTTCTTGTTTTGAAAGAACGGAAATCATGAAACATGAAGAATAGTTTTTTACATATGATAAGTAAGTAAAAAAAATCGAATTGTTTTGGGTTTTTTTTTACTGTTTTTTAAAAAGTCTTAACTTTTCTTTATTACATTCTTTGTTATTTTCTGACCAAGGAAACTCATAAAATGTTATCTGCTGTCCAAATAGAGAAATTTTAAAAAATCATTAAAATTTTTAATCGTTGTTTTTTTTTTTTAAATTAAAAATTAAAATCTTTTTTTTTTTTTTTACTAAAATTCACACCAAATTCTCCCAGAGCGAATCCCTCCATTGCACTACGGTTGGGTTGACCTTTGCGATTGTCCAAAATGTGGGCGACTTGGGTGAGCTATTTCTAAAGTGTGGGGGTCTACGTTCGCGCTCACCCCGAAGCCAACAACATTTTTTTTTATTATTTACATTGTAAAAAATTCCTTGTAAATATTTCAGATATCATCCACACTTACGAAATATTAATAACTCCCTAACTTTTTTTTTTTTTTGGGTTTGGTAATTTTTCATTCTGAGATTTGGGGCTGTTGCGAAGCAAGCGAAACAAATTTTGGTTTAAAATTTATAATTATAAAAAGAATGCCAAAAATTTTATTAAAAAAAGCAACAAATTTCGATTTAAAATTTATAATTTCTTGGGTTGAATTAATATTTGCAATATTTTAAAAAACTGGCTATTTTTGTATCAACAAACGGAGGAAAATGAAACCACCTCACAATAATCGCCCCATTTTTCAAGAGAAAAAAAAGCTCAAAAAATTCATTCATACAAACATTTTTAATATCGTCAGAATCTTAGAGGAATAATCAACGTATTTTTTGAATACAGTGTAACCCGGATATAAGAGAGTTGTCGGGACCGGAGAATAAGTCTCTTATATCCGGGTTTGGTCTAACACAGGCTCTAATTTGGGACCAGAGAAAATCTCTCTTATATCCGGGTTACACTGTATTTAATCAAGTTTTTCACTCCTTTTTAGAACATTCGAAATTTTGATTTAAAAAAAAAAAAACTTGTTTCAGCATAGCAAATTTTCTCCTCCTTTTTGTGGTGACAGACAATCTGGAAATTCTTGCGAAAAATCAAATAATTGTCAGATTTTAATGAAATTTTCCGGATTTATTCACAAATGAATGAAATTATTTTTGAATTTTTTTTTATTAGATATTTTTTATTTGTATTTTATGTTTCAGCCCCTTAATATGAAAACTTGAGAAATTCAACATGATAATTTTTTTAGTGACTAGTTAAAAGCAGAATTCTTTGAAGAATTCAAATTACCAATATTTTTTTTGCAAACTCTGACTCCGTCTTCGAAAATCTGTTCTGAATCGAAAAATAAAAAACGCAATAAAACTAATATATTATTTATTTAATTAAAGAGGCTTTTAAATTGCTTTTATTATTTTAAAGAGTGTCTGAAGAAGAAAGAATTTTGACGAAAAATAAATTTTTACAAGATTTGTTTTCATTTTTTACAATTTTAAATTGAATTATTTATAAATATTTTAAAATTTAGTTTCAGTTGGTTAACTTAGGAAATATTGCTCTAATCATAAAGCTTATTACAATCTGACGGCCCCGAATATTTTAAAAAGAATTTTGATTTATTTTTATATATGTGTAGACGCAAAATTTCAAAGTATAGATGTTCAACCTTAACATTATCATTAAAAGGTCACGTGTTTTAAGAGTTATCCCCCACCCTTACGGCAAAAAAAAAAAAAATTATCATCTGCTCTACCATACTAAATTATGAACACGTTCAGCTGTCAATTGAATAAATCACATCAGAAAAACAAGGCCCCATAGTTAAGAAATGTTTGTATACATTCTATGCTATAAATAATATTTGTTTCAAATCAGATTAATTTAACTTTGCTAATTTTCCTCAAATAATGTTTCAGAAATATATTTTATTTTTGCAAGGTTTTTAAGACTGAAAATTAACTTGTTTACAAATCTGTCAAAAATGTCTGTTTTGATCAGTTTTAATAAAAAAAGAAATTTATTCTGATTAGTATAATTTCTGTTTACGCAGAATATTTTGCTTACTGGAAATAGTAAATTTTAAATCCTTTAGGTTTCAATTAAAACTAAAATGAAAGCTTCAAGAAAGCTTTTTTCTTTATTAAAACTTCATTTTAAACCTTACATATACAGAATTAGTGAGGGTACCTCTACAATTGTTAGGCCTTTGTTATTACTTTAAAATTATGAAAACGTGAGATTTTTGTATTCCCATTTTACTCATTATTAATTTTTTTTTATCAATTTCAGTGAATTTTGTGTCTGAGACAAAAGACATTTAATAACACTGATTCCAAAAAGAACAAATACTGCCATCACATGAAATACCTTTTATAAACAACTGTTATTAACACCTATCTGCTTTGTGTTTTATTATTTACTAGTGTACCCATACTGTCAAAATTGACAGCAAGAAGGAATGTATTATAAATAATATGTATTAAACTGTAAGTAATTTTAAATTAATCACTGTACAATTTTGTAATTTAAAATAGTTGTTAATTTTAATGATTGAACAGTGTGCATTGTATAAACACCTCAGGCAAGATATCCATATTTTATCTTCATAAATGTTACACATTTAAAACCAAATTTTTTTACTGTTAAATGTCAAAATTTTTGAGAGTCGAGATTTAATACAATTTAGTTCTTACTGTAAACTGTGTCACCCTAGGAAGTGGTTCTCTTTGTAGTTCACCATACCCTCCCTCACCAAATCATGCAAAGGGAGAGGGAAAGAAGAGGGTTGCTTTGTAGTTTGTCAGCATGTTAGCTTTTTGAACGTGAATGGCGTCTTTTGCACAGTGCCCATCAATTGTTACACACAAAAAAACTGTGTGTGTGTGTGTGGCATATTATATTTAAGGATTGTTCTGAGTAAATAAGATTTTTCTAAGATGAGTAAATAATTCTGAAAAATGTGTATAATACAATCCAGCTTTTTTTTTTTTTTTTGCCTTAACTTTCATTTAAAATTTCTTATATTATGCACAAGAAAACATGGCAAGACCAAAAAACATGCGAGAATAGGTGGTGTGGTTGCAGAATTAAAGAATTCATGAGTTCTGATATTTCTCTAAGATTTCCTCTCTCAGATTCCTTTTGAAAACCTATGGTTTCAGCAGCAAGACAAGCCACCACATAGAACAAGTAGCTGCCTGACGTGTTGACATTCACTCTGTGCCTCTCTTCCACACACTTCCTCTCAGAAATTATGCTTACTATGTTCCCTTGAAGATGAAACAAATATCAGTATCTATACTGATGATAAAATTTACTCCTGTTGTGCAGTTTTTCTCTCCGGGATCTATCTTACAAATTTATAAGTCTACCATTTGTCCTTGTATTGAATATTACTACCACATCTGGTCTAATACTCCTGCTATACATCCAGAAATTCTTCATAAAATCCAAAGAAAAATCTGCAGTGTTATTGGTCCTGACCTGGCATCTCAGCTTCAGTTACTTTCCCCACTGCCACCCCACTGCCATAATGTAATTTCCCTGTGCCTTTTCTATAAATACTTTTACCGTAATTGTTCTAATGAGCTCTTCACTATGGTACCAAGACTTTATGAATTTAAGTGCAATACGTTTCATAATTTTACAGTTGAAACAGCTAGATGCAACCATAAGTTCTAAGCTAACAGTTTCTTCTATCGCACTTCTCACTGGTGGAACTCTCTTCTGGCTTTTTGCTTCCCAGTCAACTTTGCTTCAAAAATTTAAATGTAATTTCAATCGTTATCTTTTATCTCCTTGATTCTTCTTCTTTTATTGTCCTCTCTCCTTAATAGTAGTTTTTCTAATATTCTCTAACACTCAGTAACCCCTTGCGTCCTAGTGGCTTTATTGCCTTTGATCTTCAAACATTTAAATGTAATGTCAATCGTTATCTTCTGTCTTCTTAATTCTTCTTCTTTTATTGTCCTCTCTCCTTAATAGTAGTTTTTAATATTCTCTAACACTCAGTAACCCCTTACACTTTTATTGCCTTTGATCTTCAAACATTTAAATGCAATGTCAATCGTTATCTTCTGTCTTCTTAATTCTTCTTCTTTATTGTCCTCTCTCCTTAATAGTAGTTTTTTCTCATATTCTCTAACACTCAGTAACCCCTTTAAAGTAGTTTTCTTTATTGCCTTTGATCTTCAAACATTTAAATGCAATGTCAATCGTTATCTTTTGTCTTCTTAATTCTTCTTCTTTATTGTCCTCTCTCCTTAATAGTAGTTTTCTCATATTCTCTAACACTCAGTAACCCCTTTAGTGGCTAGTGTTTGATCTTCAAACATTTAAATGCAATGTCAATCTTATCTTCTGTCTTCTTAATTCTTCTTCTTTATTAACCTCTCTCAATAATAGTAGTTTTCTCCTAGTTTTTTATTGCCTTTGATCTTCAAACATTTAAATGCAATGTCAATCGTTATCTTCTGTCTTCTTAATTCTTCTTCTTTTATTGTCCTCTCTCCTTAATAGTAGTTTTTCTCATATTCTCTAACACTCAGTAACCCCTTGCGTCCTAGTGGCTTTATTGCCTTTGATCTTCAAACATTTAAATGCAATGTCAATCGTTATCTTCTGTCTTCTTAATTCCTGTTCTTTTATTGTCCTCTCTCCTTAATAGTAGTTTTTCTCATATTCTCTAACACTCAGTAACCCCTTTTCATCCTAGTGGCTTTATTGCCTTTGATCTTCAAACATTTAAATGCAATGTCAATCGTTATCTTCTGTCTTCATAATTCTTCATCTTTTATTGTCCTCTCTCCTTAATAGTAGTTTTTCTCATATTCTCTAACACTCAGTAACCCCTTGCATCCTAGTGGCTTTATTGCCTTGCTTGGGGTGAAATGATTATATTAAAAAAAAAAAGAAAAAGACAACTGTTTGTCATTACTGTTATTGATTGAGTCTAGGGTTGCAGTGTTGGGGTCTCTACTGAAGAATCGCCAGTAGACCACTAGAATCCAGAGATGACGTTGAACACAACAAATAATTTTGGCATTTTTTTTTCATGCTGTCAAATTAGTTATTGCTTTGGTAGGTTGTTTTGTACTTTTGTTGAAAATTTATGTTTTTGGTAGGTTGTTTTGTACTTTTGTTGAAAATTTATTTTTTCTTTCTTTTCTTTTTTTTTTTAGACTTTGGTCACTAGAAAATATCAATTCTTGAACATGGCCAGCCAAGATCTGCCAAGTGCATCTGCCTACAAACCACTGGTATTGAGCAAGGATACTGTAATTGAATGTCAGACCCCTGATGAAGAACCCCTTGTTAGGCAGCCTCCCAAACCAATTGAGCTGAACTCATTGAATGCAGTACCAGACCCAGATCTTCAGCTGACTCCACTGAAGCAAAATGAACAGCCAAAGAGTCTTTTACGTTCACAGACTGGCAACTCAAAAGTGCGACACCGGGTTCGGTTTCAAGAATCACAGTCTTTTTCTTCTGATTCTGAACAGGACATTTCAAACAAAATATCTGAAGTGACAATTAGTGATGACATAGCTCGCTTCGAATTGGCACAAGAAAATCAAAACAATAACAACTTAAGCTTGGGACATGATTCCTTTTCAGACATTGCACCCTCGGAACCTCCCAATTTTGTGTTTTTTGATGTTGATTCAGGTGTGTTCACTCCGCAACACACAGCGTTTGAGGTGGTCCGAGAAATAAACCCGAAACAGACACCCTCTCCTACACCTTTGACTTTTGATTTTCCAACCGATTCCGAAATGAAAAGAAAAAATTCTGCAAATTCACGACCTTACTGTGAAAAAAATTACCAGAGCAAAATTCCCATGTCTGACATTTCAACAAACACCACCACAGAAAGAGATTTTGAAAGTCTTCCCAAAGAAGAAAATGACGCTATGCAAACCAACATAAAACGTATCTCAAGCAAACCAGGCCATTTCCAAGTTGCTGCAGTGAGTACTGATCTTTACCCGGGCAATGCCCAGACATTGTCATTGCCTTCCGATGTGAGCAGCATTGACAAAGAGCCAAGCCTCTTTGCCCAACCAAAGTTACATAGTACATTAATTATTGCAGAGAAAATCAAAGCATTGCAAAAGAAACGTCCAGATTTGACGCGTGAATTGAAGAAGAGCCTTGTAAAGAAAGAACAGAGAGACAAAATTAATGAAAAGGTAAATTTGCTTTGTTCTTTATTCACTGCTAGTTGCTTTACTGTGTCTGGCTAGACAGTTTTTCTTATCAGAATCTATTGTACAAGCCTACCGTTCATCCATTCCTCAAATATTGTTGCCTCATCTGGTCTGCTGATTTTGCTACATATCTAGAGATTCCCGAGGCCTACAGTCAAATCACATTGGAACACCAGTTCCTGTATCATCACCAAAGTTAAGCAGTGTCAAGCCTAGTCAGTACTTAGATGGGTGACCGCTTGGTGTGCAGGTGGTGTAAAGGATAATGGCCCAGAATTGTTAATTGGACATCCAAGTTCCAATTCATGTTGGGTTTCTTATATTTGTTTTCGAAATATGCATTTTTTTTCTAAATAAATTTATATATTTGGGCAGCATCCTTTCTTTTAAACATCTTTCATTAAATATTGCAAACAAGGAAGATTTAATTAATTTTGTTATGGTTTTGCCAACAGCCTTATGTTTTCTAGGAGTAAGGTTTACAAGAACCCTTAAGAAAAATTCTGGTCGAAAACACTAAAATTCTATATGTCATATTACTGGAAACATGTCGCTATTAAAGAGGCCCTGTATATTAAACATCTCTCTCCTCCTATCAACCTCACCTTATTTGACAGTGGAAATCGAGTTGAAATGTTTTAAAAATAGAAAGATGCTCACGCAAATTCCAACTGCACTCGACATGTGAAACCCTCCTATTCAAAACAGTACAAAAATAAAATACAACTTAAATAATCAAAACTAACACCACCACAAACATAACTCCCTTGAAAATTGCTAAAGAAGTGGTTGAAAACACTTCGGATAATGAAAATTATGGAAGATTTTTGTACTTTCTTTCTCCTACAAAATGGAAGGATGCTAGAAAAACTAAATAAAAAATTAAGTAATCTTTGTCTGCTGTATTTAATGAAAGATGTTTATAATTAATACAAGTAAAAGGTTTGTCACTTAACTGATTGATGTTACCTTCAGCATCCCTACTCTAGAGTTTCATAGACAGACCCTCCAGGAATCACTCTGTCCACTCGTCAGGGGGTCTTAGCAGTCAAACAAAATATCTGAAGGAACAATTAGAGATGGCTTATCTTGCTTCGAATTGGCACAAGAGAATCAAAACAATAACAACTTAAGCTTGGGGCATGATTCTTTTTCAGACATTGCACTTTTACATATGAAGTTTTCAAATGTTTTAAAATTACTGCTTTAGAAAAGCAAGTATTTCTAAATTAGGATACCATTTCACTAGTATTGCTAATCTGATTTTTATTATTTTTTTGTTAAAGAGATTTGTTAAACGGATTAATTTTAGAAAAGGGTATTTGAAAAAAAAGATGTTCTGAGCAGTAATAGAATTCTAAAAAGCAGACAATAATAAAAAAAAATATATATACTAATTTGGAGAATATTTTAAGCTTTTTATTACAACATTTTTTTTTTTTTTTTTTTTTTTTTGGCGGGGGGTCTTGGCTTATTTCTGTAGACAATGTTTTTGCCCCCAAAAAGCTGTTTATAAAAATGCGACAACTACTTTTTTTTCTTTATAAATAAATAAACAGCAAATTCTGTCTGAAACCTTTCTAACTGTGGCCACACTTGCTCTCAGTTCAGTTATGTGCTATGCATGATACACGCTTAGGCGATCATGTATCTTTTCGATACGTGGCTGATGAGGCAGATTTTTTCCCACAGTAGGTTGCCATTTCTTTCTGCGGTAGACCAGTTGCCATGCAAGGCTATAGTACCCGGCCTATTCTGCTATTTACCCATAGTTGGGGGGGAGAAGAAGAGGATTCATACCTTTCCCAAGGGTATTAGCACATAAGTGAATGTAATGGATTCAATTGGAATTTGAACTCTGCTCTCCAATTCTTCAATCCGAGCTGCTATCCGCTACTCCACTGTGCCTCCACTTGCTCTACATAGTCATATTATACCTTTTTGGAATCACAATGATCCTGGGATTGAAAATCTGACCTTCATCTGGTGCTTGAACATCCAACATTAGGATTCGTGTCCAGATCATAAAGGAACAGTTAAAAATTCAAATTTTAAAATAAGTGAAAAAATTAGTGATTTTGAAGTTTTTCATTTATATTGGGTTTAAAGTAAAACAAAAACTTTATGAATTTAAAAAATTTTGTTTTAAATTCAATTTAAAATATCTCCAAAACTTTGTGAGGAAATCAATTTTATTTCTTCAAAATGCCAAGGAATCAGAGTTCAAGTGAAAGGTTTTGAGACATGTTTTAAGGTTCCACAGAGTTTGTGATTTGAAGAACTCAATTTTCGGCCTGAATTGGAAATTTGGTCTTTTGGCTAAAATTGGAATTTTGGCCCAAATCACTCTTTTGGCCAGAATTGGACTTATAGCCTGAATAAAGAGTCAAAGTGAGGCTTTTGAAGTTCCATGGAGTGAATTGAGAAAGTCAAAGTTATTTCGTCAAAATTATTATTGCTGATTTCTAAGCTGGACCAAAGGTCCCTTTAGTTTTGGATCGGAGGCTCAATTAGCCCTCTGCAGGAGCTAGCTTAAAAGTCTGCACAGAGTGCAAGTTTTAAGTTAATTTATAAAATCAAGGACAGAATGGAGAACTGTTAGGATTAGTCCATTTTGACGTTGCTAATAAATTATCTTTAAACAGGAATTTGTACAAGTCTGAGTCCAGGACAGAAATTTTCAAGTAGCCATTTTTATGGTTGTGTGTTCACTTTAACAACACAACCAATGTTTTGCCTTTGAAGCAGTTTCCTACAAATGAAATTTCTTTTACTTTTCTTTTTAATTTAGGCAGCCTCTAAAGTTGACATTCGTTCCAACAAAGACCTTTATCCTGGACTCATCAGTTTAGATGTCTCTAATTTTGAACTTGCAGAAGCAGCCATTGTGCAAAGAACAACAAAAATAAAACACACAAAAAAAAAGGTAAGGATTATTATTATTATTGTAGCGCCAGGCAGTATAAAAAAAAATCATTATAGGTGTTATGATGACATTGGTAGGATTTATTAAGCAAATATATTATTCTCTCTATGAATGTCTGTGAATATACATATATGACTCTCATCAGTTTTTCACAGAATGATCATCTTCTACCCGACGTCAGGGTTCAATTCCTATTTGTGTTCGTTTAAAAAAAAACTGGAACAGAAAGTGAAACATCACCACAGTGGGAAAAGAAAACACAAATCGTGTTTTCAATATCCTGGGTCTTTATTCACTGGCAAAGTACAGGTCAGAGCTAGCACTCTCTTTGGGTGGCACTTAGGTCCCTATACATTCTTACTTCCACCAAGCAACTGTCACTGACATGACTTGTTGGATAGAAGGCTCTTCTGCTTACCCAAACTATGACTCTGACTGATCTAGAATGCAGCCTGACTATATAAGCTGAAGACCGGAATTCCCTACTTTCCGACCAGGTGTCACTTGATCCCAAAAGTTTTTATTTAGCTATTTATTTCATTTTCATTTTCTCTATTTGTGAGCAGTGAGTGGTTGCTTTGAAATCCTCACATCTGGATTTTACTGGCAGTCATAAAACACCAGACATTTCAGGTCCAGATAAAATCATTTGAGTGATTCAGTCAATGAAGTGGGGACCCATTGTGCCACAAATCATTTTTAATTCTGACACCAGGGTTGGGAGAAACAATATTTCATAGCTGTATTTTAGTGTGAACTACATTTGAAACTGACAAATGTAGGCGGGAGTTATGGCGGTCAGAGTTTTCCTTCACCTCAGCATTGAACTCCTCATTGAAACACCAGTTCTCATATGATCACTGAAGTTGAGCAACATCAAGCCTGGTCAGTATCTAGATGGGTGTTGGCTTTGTGGATACCAGGTGCTGGAAGTACCGAGGCGCTGGTAATATCATAGCTCAGAATTGGAAATCAGAGAACCAATCTTAGTTGTGTATGTTATGTTCACTCTCACACAGATACCATTAGGAATGGTATGAACCCACCGCTTCCCCCCAGCTATGGGTTAAATAGTAGGACCTGTATTATTAAATTATTATTATCTCCAGAAAATTCTTTCAACCCCAAAATATTTTCTAGCTTTAAATAATATTAAAAAGGTCGATAAGCTATAAAAAACAAATTGATCAAGACTTGACTGATTGGCAAAAGTACCTAGTCTACCTTAATATTTAACCCGTAGTTGGAGGAAGCTAGCTATATGCATTCTCCAAGGGCATTAGTAAGTATATTCATGGCAATGTGACTACCTTGCCCAAGATTTTAGTAGTATATGAATAGCCAGCTCAGGGCATCTTGTTTTTGCTAAGAGAATCTTCTTTGAAGAAAATGCCTACATGATGATTCCAGAGTCCAAAGACTTTATAAATAGAAAGAGTCCACATCCGCAGACAGTCAGAGAGTCTGTTCCAGTCAGCTAGTAAGGACCGTTTTGTCCTCTGGACATTAGAAATATGGAATTACTTTTCCCTGAAGTTAAACGAATAACGAAATTAACTTAAAAGAAAGAACAGAGATGAAAAAAGTCATTACTACTTTTGTTAGACTGACCGTTCATAGTAAAGGGCCTAAAAGGAAAGTCCTTGTGTATTTGCTCCAGTTACAAATATAAAGAAGATGGAACGGGTATAGTAATTACCTATAGTTGTTTGTTATCAGATTGGCCTTGTGATTTGAATTTATCAACTAAAAGGTTTACCACAGGAAGTCTGTCAATTATTCAATTCAACAGGTAAATACAATACCAATCACAGAAAACAGATTGCAGCATGGGTAATTACAACATAACGAGGACAGGTTAGGTCTGATGAGGTAACATTCATAACTCGTCATTCCCCTCAAGAACCATTGAGGGTTTGCCACAGGTAAATGTGATCCGATTGTAGCAGAGGAGTCACTGAAGAAAAGTGCTCAAGTCCTTAAGGCCTGTTCTGTTGTTTATTAAAAACAGATTGTTTCTTCAGATTTAAGCTGAAAACCTCTGAAATATTTTTGTGTTTTAGTCTCCAAATGGAATTGCTGAGACCATCTGTTAAAAACTCTGATGGTTTGTAGAGGTTTTAAAAGGAAAAGTCTGACTAAATTCTGTCTAAGCCTGAGTTTTGAGGAATGGTTTAAACCAGGAGTCGTCAACCTTTTACTATGTACTGTCCTAGGGTTTTAAAATCATTCAGTGTGCCAACATCATACATATTTTTATACAAGTCAAGGTCAATATACCTGTTCTACAATATATTTTATATAGTAATATATAGTATATATACTTTAGTATGAAAATTTCTGAGTAACCTGTAGAAAAGACAATATTTATAAATATAAATGACATTAAGAAAACTACTACAGTTTTCCTATTATCATTAATATTTATAAATACTTTAGTATATATTAAAATTGAAACTGCTAAATATCTTCTTTGTGTTGTAGTAATTATTAGTTCAGACTTTGTGACGTCATTTGCGGCTGTGTGCCATTGAAAATTACTTGATGGCATGTATGCCGTAGGTTGCCAACCCCTGGTCTAAACCAGTTTTTCTCAACCTTTTTACTTCAGGGTACACTTGTAGAATAACTAACCCTCGGTGGAGGGAGGGTGGCACTCCAAACTTTAATAAGGAAAAATTAGTTGTGGAATTTGAAAAATAGGAAAATAATAAATAAGTTTTATTTCAATAAGAATTTATTTTAAGATATTACATTTGTAGATTTAACTTTTATGAAATCTATGCTTCATATGCTTTGGCAAAGACAAAATTTATCTTTAAAAGTTGTCAGTTTTGGTTAAGCATCCCCAAAAAGGATTAATGGTATAATTTTCATTTAAAGGGATTTATGAAGAATCTGGTTTTTTTTTTTTTTTTTTTTTTTTTTTTTAAGTGGGGGCTAATAATGACTGATTTAAATCTAGGTACCGCCACAAAAATCATGAGGCCTAAGGTTTAAATTAATTTTAAAAATTGTAAAAGCTCTCTTGGAGTTTTCATTTTTAGCTTTAATTGAAAGTGAAAGGATTAAATTTACTATTTACAGTAAGCAAAATACTCTGGCGTATTTCAAATAGAAATTATATTAATTGGAATCTTTTTCTTTTTTTTTTTTTTTTTTTTTTTAAGTATAATTAATCTGATTTGAAACAAATATTATTTACCTTAAGTAGCTGTGTTTTTAACTGAGGGTAGCTGTTGTTTATGTCATTGACAATGTTGTTCTACGGAGACTTTATTTTGTAAAACATAATTTAAGAAAATGATGTGAACACCTTTTTTATATAATTTTTAAATATTTAGTAATCTTAAAAATTTAGGAAAATATTCTCCGTAATCTAATGTTTTATTGAATTTTAGAAATTTCAGCTCTAAAATTAATATAGTTGTTACTCTTATTTCCTGATAATGTTGCATATGGTCAGCCATACTGGCACATTTATACACTAATAATAAAAATTCAAAATTATTTTTAAAATATATTTTCTTTCTCCCTCTCTTTTCCATTTAGGATTAGTAAATATAGTTTTCACTTAATAATAATATTATCTAAAAGGTGGAAATTAACAGAGAATTTTAAAAGATTTAAAACTATAAAATATTATAAGTAAAACTTTTAAAAATGAAAATTCTTGTAAAAATTCATTATTCTTCAAAAACAAATTTTTTTCTTAAGACAATAGTTTCCTTAATATATCTTAATTATAAAAGCAATTAAAAGCTTTTCTAATTAAATAATAGGATAGTTTTATTGCATTTTTTATTTTACAATTCTGAGCAAATTTTTGGTAAACGAGTAACAGTTTGAAAAAAAATTGATTTGAGTCCTGCGTTAAAAATAAAAAAAAAATATTCAAATGAAAATTTAACTTCTCAGAATTTCATAAAATTAAGTAAGTGGGAGTAATAACTAAAAATAAAGAAAATTTATATATATATATATATATATATATATTTACCAAGATTTTCTTAAAAAAAAAAAAAAATTCCAAAATAATTTCATTCATTTGTGAATAAATCCTGAAAATCATATCAAAATCCAACAATTATTTGATTTTTTTGCAAGAATTTCCAAAAAAATGTCTATTTTTACCACAAAAAAGACGCTGAATTTCAAGTACTCATCTTTGGGACACTGCTGCAGAAAAAAAAATGATTCTGAACATGCTAGAAAAGATTAAAAAACATTAATAAAAAAATTCTTTGGTCTTTCCTCTTAATAATAAAAATTTTGACAATAAAAATTTGTTTTCATCAAGTTTGGGTTCTTTTTTTCATCATGTTATGCATTTTTGTAGCAAAAATGTGGAGGCAACTATTTAAATGGAAGGATTATCCACTCCTTAAAGATGAAGGAATTTAGTACCTAGTTTAAAATATCAAATGATAAAGACTTGATTTAGACATGGAAGCCATGGGATTCGTGTCTCTAGCTTTTTAAAAATAAAGATTTTTTTTTTAATAGAAAAATAATTCATAAATTACTCTTCTGTTAACATGGGGTACATCTGGCTACTCTTTTCAGGGTGCATTAATGCACCCGGGGCTCACTAGTTGAGAAACACTAGATGGTTGAATAAAAACTGTTGTTTGAAAATCAAGGTATTTATTTTTATTCTCTCTTTCTCTATCTTTTTATCTCTCTGTCTCTTTCTTGTTTTCTTACTCTCTCTCTCTCTCTCTCTCTCTCTCTCTCTCTCTCTCTCTCATTCGTTTTCTTTCTCTCTCGTTTTTTTTTCTCTCATTTTCTTTCTCCCTCTCTCTCTCTATTTTCTTTCTTTTTCCCTCTCTCTCTCATTTTCTTTCTCCCTCTCTCTCTCTTTCTCATTTTCTTTCTCCCTCTCCTTCTCTTTTTCTTTCTCCCTCTCCCTCTCTTTCTCATTTTCTTTCTCCCTCTCTCTCTTTTCTCCCTCTTTCTCCTCCTCCCTCTCTCTCTCATTTCTTTCTCCCCTCTTTCTCTCTCATTTTCTTTCTCCCCTCTTTCTCTCTCATTTTCTTTCTCCCCTCTTTCTCTCTCATTTTCTTTTCCTCCCTCTCTCTCTCTCATTTTCTTTCTCCCTCCCTCTCTCTCTCTCATTTTCTCCCCCCCCTCTCTCTCTCTTATTAATTAATTAAATGATCTATATTTTTTTTCCCTGCTCCCTACCAGCAAACAACCAGTGGACTCGAACCTGATTTATTAGAATTCTTCACTGAAGACCAGCAGAAAGAAACCGCGGACTTTTCTCTTCCAGGAATCCCAAATCCTGCTATTGAAACCTGCAAGGCTCCCTCTCTGATAGCCTTTGATCTTTACCGTCACAATCGAATGTGGGAGGGTCAGGCATCTACTGTTTGACCCAAGAAAAAAAAAAATAGCAAACTAATGTCATCGTTTCTCAGGGAATCCATTTTGGCTCTTTCTGGCATTCTTTGTATAAAAAGGCTTTTGAGGAATCTGGCTTTTGTCTTTGTTTTTCTTTTGATTGACAAATTCTGTGCCTGTTTGAAACTAAGCCCTTTTCTGATGTATTCTAAAAAATCTAACCTTGACACCTTTAAAAAAAAAAAAAAAAAACATGTGACTCCTTACAACCACAACTGCCCCACCCCAGGCTGTAATGTTTGACTTATACAGGAATCTATTTTAAAGAGGATTTTTTATCCATCTATTCTATGAAATAAAATGTGATTTTATATATTTATCAGTTGTGCAACCTGATCTTCCTTATTTGCTAATGATCTATTTCATTATTATAACTAGATGTATTACTCACCAATAAGCAAACATGACTTTTGTTGCTGTAAAAAAAGGAATATATCAGAAGTGTGACTGAACTAATAGGTCCTTTTTTTTTTTTCTTTGGTTATTTTTTGCTTTTCAGGATCCAAATAGTAGAACTCTTTCTTAAATGTGACAATTTCCTAGATAAAATTTGGGGATTATTCATAACCAATTCAGTTGCAAAATTAATTAACATTTTTGCTATTTTTTGTGATATGGTTAACACAATGGATATCTAGTGTGTATTTTTACTGTCTGTGTCGAATAACACTTACATTTACAAGCACATTTCAGATATTAGATACACCAACTAATTACTCATAAAATGCAGCTATTATACGTATAATGTAAATGCATTGCTAATGATTTTATCATCAGAATACATTGGGAATCTAGAAGAAAGGGATTGTCAGTGGTCAGGAATGAAGGCAAGTATTAATCGAATCACTGTAATGTGTGTGTAAAGTATTTATTTATTGACATAAAAATAAGAAAAGGCTCGAGGGAAAAGCCGCATAGAAAATATTCCCATTAAACTCGTTTTAAAATCTAAATGCGGACAATTTAAATAATTATTCTTATGCTAATTTGTCTTCTTGTCACCTTCCAAACAGGAAAATATTTTTTTTAAAATATCCCAGCCTTTCTTGTTTTGTAAATCAAGTCTCAGTTACAAACAGGTCAGTAGAAATTATTAAATGTCTCTGTTGTCCCGTGGGCCTGGAATTTAATTTAAAAAAGAAAAATAGCTGACATTATTGTCCTTTTGCAGCCTCGCCCAAATTTAAAGAAAACTTATTCACATATCTAAATTCTGTTCAAAACAAGTAACATCATACTAAGTTATAGGTCGAGCATATTTGTATATATTTTGTTTGCATTTTTAACTTGTAGTGTTGATTACAATTTATTTGGAATGACTGAAAAAAAAAAAAAAAACCCTCTCCCAATTTATAGACATGCATGTTGCGATATCTTCATAACCTGAGGTCAATACACAGTGGCACCTGTTTGTTTCATGTGTGAACGCAATCTTCAGGCCCTGTGATGTAAGGGAGGCAACCATAGCAGTTTTTTTAATCTTCCTCCACAACAAGGGAGTTGTTATTCTAAAAGGTATGATTGATGCTGATCATTTCTTGTCAGTATGTCTTTTTTTATTTTATTCTTTTTTTTTTTTTTTTTAACCATGATTTAAAGTAAAGTCTTGGGCAGGGGTTGGCAAATCATTCGACCCCGTGGACCGGATCGTGTTATAATGACGGGTCGCGAACCAGACGAAGGCCATTAATGAAAAATTAAGGAAAATTACATAGGCAAACCCCTGTCAACCTAAATATTTAAAACCATAATGAAAATAAACATTGAAAAATCAGAAAAACAAAAGAAAATCTAAATTTAAAAAACACTTAACAAAAATTACTTTTCCTCAAGGAACGACAAAATACTTCAAAGTGAAAAAAAATCAACCAAAGTGTAATGGATGAAATTATGACGTGTAGGTTTGAAACTGTTATTGAAAATTGTTCCACAAATGAACCACACACACACACACACACACACATCAAAAAAACAAAAAACATACAGTAGCAAACATACATACGAGTACAAATAGTTGCAAACATATACACTTACGTGTCAGTCCCTCCCTGGCCTCTTTTCACATGTTTTTCGGTATCATCCACACATTCATTATTGACATTAAAACATGTATGTATAATAGTCTAATTATCTGTCTTTAGATTTCTGCTACCAGTCATTGGTAATCATGTCAAAATGCCTTAGCAGAGGCGGATCTCCAACCCTTGGTCTTGTTATGCCTCTTTCACTTTATCGCAAGGCGGTATCTTTGAGGAGCATGGAACCTTCTGTTATCTTTTAATGTAGTCAAGGGTCATAAAAAATCAAGACCTATTGAGATTGATATACGGATGTGTGCTTCTTCCGCATTCTTCAGTTCATGGCTTTTTGTAAACAAATTAAAAAAGCAATTTTTTTCTTTTAAAATGATTAAAGATATCTTACTGGATCAGTCTATCTTTCAACGTTATAGCATGATTAAATTTTTTTTTCATCTGCTTATAAAACCCAGAATGTCTATTTTCTGTTTTTTTCAACCAATTTAAACAATTTCTATGGTTAATTAGTTAGCCAATTACCATAGCTAAATAGTGTCACACTTTTATAGGTTGGTAAGTCTTTTATATCAAATTGCATGAAAGAACTTTTTCTTTTGTCTGATATTACTGATTGTTACTTTTCTAGTTCAACATGTCCCTTGAATTTGGGATATATATATATATATATAGGTGTATGTGTTTTTCTTCCAGGTAATCCTTGTTCACTCACATTAAGACTAAAATGTGAGCCACTTCTTCATTCAATATGGCTATTTTATGGCCTTTGTTTTGTAGCTATATAGCTTTGAAAATGTATTTTAACTCCAATCTGCATCTTTTTTGTTGGCTCTTAAATGAAAACAAAAGCATTTTATAGCATCAATGAAAGAACTATGGAACAACATGTTGTTTTATATAATATATATATATATATATATATATAGTGTGTTTTTCAAATCAACAGGAAAACAAAAGCATGCATCAATGCTATTATTGTTGTCTTTGATGGTTTTATTTTTTTTATGGTTATTGAATTGAAGATGGAGTTTTGTGCCTGTTTCATCATCATAATTGCCTTTATTGCTTTGGACAATAAAAACTAATGTGAGAAATGTTTATTTCAGGGCAAGTGTATCATAATCAAAACCATTAACAACTTTTATACATCTGAATTTTATTGAAACAAGTCAAAAATTTATTTATTACATAAACTATTACAGTCTGACCTCTTGAATCTGGCACAAGGCCACACTGCTGAACCACAGAAAATAGGGATGGTTTCTGTCACTCACTATGTAAACATAGTCATACCAGCTCATTCCACATATATATTGTTGGGTTATCAAAGGTAGAACAGAACTTAAAATGGAATAAAACAATCATTAATGCTTCCAAACAAGGTTTTTATTGTTTCATGCAATACAAAAAGCCTAAAAACCCCAAAATAATAATGTATATTTAATACTTATACTTACCTGAATGCATAAATAAGACCATATGATCAAAACACTTTGCAACTTTCTGTAGCAGCCAACAAAATGACGCTTCCCTTGTAGTTGCTCAACGATATAATCGCAGCTGATTCAAAATAGTTTACTGAACCATGGGATGCCGGATTAAAGAGGTCAGACTGTAGTCATTATTTTAGAATTAAATACAGATTTGTTTTCTTTTCTGAAAAAAGTCATAAATTGAAGACAAAAGCACTTGTAGTTATGGCTGTTTGAAAATGTCCTTTATAAAGAGATGAATATAAGAACAGAATTGTCAAAGCATTTGTTTGAGAACAAATTTAATTACACAAGTTTTAACATGATGATCTGCTAAAATTAGCAAGTCTTTTCACTGCAAAAAAAATAATTTTTCTAAAATTTTAATGAAAAGAGTTGTGTCCGAAAAATGAATTCAAAATTTGCAATGTAATTTGGACGCAAGAAACATTGACATGAAATCATTGTATGTATGTGTGTGTGTATAATACAGATTAGGTATTAATGTTTTATATACATATGTAAGAAGTTTTCTTGGAAAGAAACCCCTTTTTAACATAAGCGAAATTAGATCCTATCAGCATTTATTTCTTTCATTTCCTTCAGAAGTGAGAATTGATTTCAGAAAGCAAATGCCTTGGCAAGTCAAATTTTATTTTGCCTCAGAATCCCCAGACAAATTTCCAAGTTTCAAAAATTTAAATGAGGAAAAAAAATACTGCTAAAACCTTAAAAAGCTTACACACCCTATAATATTGCAATGAATACTTGGGGGTTGGAGAGTGGATAGATAGACTAAGTATTAATGTCTTATATACATATGTAAGATGTTTTCTCGGAAAACAAAAAAAAAACTCCTATTTGTTCAGTAATCCTTCTTTAATACAAGTTCTGTTAAAGATGACTGGCAAGGCACTGCAATTATGCTTTTTATTTTTCTCATGTTTATTAAAGTTTTTTTTACCTTTTCTGGACACAATGTGTGTAAAAACTGTCCAAAAGTTCTGCATATCCAAGCGTTTTCAGCCATTCTTTTAGCTATTATCAAAGACGATTTTTTATTTTTAACTGAGAAGGGATATTTTCCAAACATGGTCAGCATATTGTGGCCATATTCATACTTAATGTTACTGAGTTTTGGATTTCCCTTTTTTATTATTAGTGCTTCCATTATTTTTCATCTTTCTTTACATGTGGATGAAGATATTATGTTTGAATTTTCTACTAGTATGTTGTTTGATGGATTTTCCATGTGTGTTTAGAGGAGTCCTAATTGAGCTATTGTTGGTTAAGTGTAATGTGAGCCATTTAGATAGGCATGTAGTGGTATGGCCAATATAATTATTTGTGAGTTTAGATTTGATCAGGGGCATGTAAACTCAATAATATTGGTTCTCTGTAATTTAAATTTTGCAGGTGTGTTATTGTTGATAAGGTTTTTCAGTTTTAAATTTTTTGTAGTAGATAATTTAATTTTCTTATTCTGGTTGACTGGTGTTTTGTCTTTCTTTATGATATTTCTAAGAGAAAATTCGTCTTGCTTATAGTGAACAAGTATTTGGCTTTTATAGAAGATATTAATGTTATTGTTTGACTCTGAGGCCAGAAAAGAAAACACTAATACGAACATAAGAAAAATAAAATGCTTAATTGCAGTACCTTGTCAGTCATCTTTAATGAAACTTGTATGTGTGTATATATAATATATAGACAGGATAAAATTTCTCACTTAGCTGATTGATGTTATATTCAGCACCTCAATTCCAGGGTTTCTTAGACAAACCCTTTTTGTAATTGTTCCGTCTACTCACCAGATATTAGTAAATGTTTGCCAATTTTCTTGTTTTCATTATTTTTATAAGTTAAAAAAAATAATTTATGCACATTTTTATGGGTATCAGGTTGATTTTTCTTCCTTGTATATGTGTGTTTATATATGAAGAAAAATATACAGAAAAAACAAACAAAAATCCTAATATGCAATTATGCTGTTTTAATATTAATATAATGTCAACGTCGGACGTTTCGGTCTAATAGACCATCTTCAGGACATATTCATAAAACATAATTAACATAGACCATATTCAATTCAACATGAAAAAATTACCAATCCAAACGGATAACTGAAATCTTTTTATAAGATCAGCGTTCCGTTTACATATGATCACGTTATCTGTTTGGATTGGTATTGCTTTTATGTCCATAATGTTGAATTGTATATGGTCTATGTTAATTATGTTTTATGAATATGTCCTGAAGATGGTCTATTAGACCGAAAACGTCCCCACGTTGACATTAAACATTAAAACAGCATAATCGCATATTAGGATTTTTGTTTGTTTTTTCAGTATATTTGTCTTCATACTGTCGGATCTATATCCATATATTTGCTTATATATATATATGAGAGAGAATGTCATGGTTATTTCTTCTTTTCATAATTCCCTTGTCTCTTTAAACTCTTGTTATTCCTTTTCTTTCACCTCTAAGTGTCAAGATAACATAGCAAAGTTATTTTCAAGGTCAGAGACGAATTAAAATTAAGTTAATATTCCAGAATATTCTGGAGTTTTCTAAAGTTTTCCAAATATAGGTGTATTTTGTTTTGTTTTTTTTTTTTTATTTATTTCTTATTTTCTTTATTTTATTTCAAAATTTGCAACGGTTTCACTGCTAAACCAAATATGTGATCAAAACAAAGTTTTAGTCAAAATGGTAACAAAAAGAAAACTTATACTTAACAGTACAAGGAAGTGGCAGTTTAAATTTCTGGGGGACATAATGAGGAAAGAGGGTTTGGAAAATGATACTCACAGGACAAGAAAACAACGCATAACATACTTTGTGAGATTGAGTAAATGGATGGCAGAACAGGACTTAGGAGAAGTAACAGAAAGAGAAAGTTTAAGAGCTACAATGGAGAGAATGTTGTGGAGAGCTATGATCGCTTACGTACTGAGGGATACGACACATGCTCAATGTTAAGAGGGACAAAGGAAAGCAATGCATAACATATTTGGTGAGCTTTCCAGTGAAACATTTCACAATGAAAATGGATATCATCGGTTATTATGAGTAACCAAATCTTATAGCAGTGCAATTCTGTTGTAGGTCTATACTCGTTTCAGAGGCAAATTGTCAATTTTCAAGGTTCTCTTATTATTTGTTGACATTGTTCTCACTTTCATGCTTCTCTGCACATACAATGCTGAGGACATTAGACTTTTGTTAAAAATGCCCACAAAGACATTAATTATGCATACATGTCAAACCCACACACTTGCTCTCTCACTCCACTCAAATTATTGTAATATAATTGTTACTACTGTTGCCAGAAAACAGCACAAATGTTTCCCGGTGTCATAACAAGTGCAATAATAATAAGCAGGAAGAAATTAATAATGGTTAATAAAAATTCAAGATATCACTAAAATATAAAATGCATATTTTTTTTTTTTTCCACAGATTTGAAAATGAAATTTTAAGATTCAATAATTTTTAAAAACTATTTTTTTTCTCCTTTGCTTCATTCTATTTTGTCCAATATAAAGAATGTGATAGACCCACTAGTCATATTGCATCGTGAGGTATACTGATTGGAACACGTTGGTGTATCTGGGCCAAACAACCTTCTGAATATATATATGATATATGGTTGCTCAGTTCTTTGAAGACGTGTCTTTTAACAGCTCTGTTTTCTAACCTGTTCTGATTATCATTTCTTTTTTTTAAATAAATGATGTCAAATATCAAGCTATCTGAGCAAATGAAAAGGCAAAGCTGTAATCATTGCTGTAAAGGCAGAGTGTAACAAATTAGAGATTGCTTGCTTCCTAACAGTTTCATATTCGTTTGTTGTCAAAGTTCGCAAAGAGCTGGAAGCTGACAATGGGGATTTTACAGCAGTAGCCAAACTTAAAAAGCCTAAAGGACCTAATGCCGTCAGAACACCCAAATTTATACGAAAAGTGCAGAAAATTATGGATAAGAAGCCCAGAAAGTCAATTAATGCTACTGCTAACAGGGTCAAGGTTTCAAGGCACTCTATGGGAAGAATTTATCATGAGAAGCTTTGATACAAGTTCTATGTAATGTGGAAAGATCAATTCATGTCTGCAAGAGACAAAGATAACCGTCTGATCCTTGTAAAGTGTTTGTTGAGCAAGTTGAAGCATCAAAAGCCTGAAATGATTTGGTTTTTTCTCAGATGAGAAAAAATACTGATCAAGACTAAAAGGTCAACTGAACAAATGGCAGATGATTATGCAGAGGTCCTAAGCACATTTCAACGGTCATGCACACAAAGTTTTCAGCAACTGTGAATAGTTCCGAGAGTTGTGAGCAATGGGGGATTTGTCATGCCACCTCACTTGCTTCCTCAGGGCGTAAGAGTCAATGCTGATGACTATAAAGAGGGGTTGTCAGGGTTTGCATAGAGAGGGTGAGCAAAGTAAGACTGTACAGTTACCAACAAGACACTGGGCCATCTTGTAAAGCCAAGACAACCCAGGAATGAAGGAGTTACAAACTCTATGATCATGTCATCATACTTATTATAAAACCTAGTGTGTGTGTGTGTGTGTGTGTGTGTGTGTGTGTCTGTACATTTATATATTGGATCGGATTTCCTACATTTTTCAACCAATTTCAACAGAACTTCACAGGACTACGTAAAATTACCTTGCGGTGGTTCTAACAGTGCCAAAAGTTGGAAAAACAATTGTTTTTGCACGAAATCAATTTGAAAACACGATTAAGAGACATCGTGAGAATGAAAGGGGGACAACTCATATCAAGTTATACTTATTATAAAACCCAGGTTGTTTGTGTGTGTGTGTTCATTTATATATGGGATCGGATTTCCTACATTTTTCAACCGATTTCAACAAAACTTCACTTTTTTTTTTGGCAGGTAGTGTTTCTTATTGTCTTGCACACTTTTTTCTTTATTTTTACATTCAGAATGCTTTAAAAATTCCATTTACAAGACAATTGTTTATAATAAAATTCTATTCAATTGGTAGACTCATAGCGATTGAAAACAATGTTTTTATTTGGGTTTGACCAATTCGTAATAAAAAAAAAAAAAAAAAATTAAGACATTCATGTCCGTCAACCTTAAACAATAATCTTTGTCAATTTTATTTTTCAGTCTTTATGATGGTCAATACTTGATCTATCTCTTACTGTTAAATCCCCAGGCAAGGCCAGGCTCTCCTGCTAGTCCCAAATATGACCTCCTAGCCCTTCAGATCGGAATCCATAGGAGGTATAGTCAAGGGGGAAGTCAATCAACGTCCCCATAACACTATAAAATCTCTAAATCCACCATAACTAACACAAACTAGATAAGGATCATCTGATTCAGGCATCTCCATGTTTCAGCCTTTGTATTGAAGTCATCATTGATGTTAACAGTGGATTCATTGAGTAGATGCATCAGGAAGAGTCAAGTTAATTCAGGCTAATAAAGATCGTCTTTCAAACTTATGTGTATCGTAATGGAAGCAATAATCTAAAAGCCTACAAGATTAAAGCAAAAAGAATTGTTAATTAGGAAAATGACAAGTGGTTCAAGTGAACAATTTACGGCAGGCTTTGCTAGAAATTAGGCCAGAGAATGAACCAGAGGAAATGTATTGGGGGTTTGAATATTACAAAAATTGTTAACACAAAGACAAAAAATAGAGGGGAAAAAAAAACCTACAGTGTAAGTTAATCTGTTCCATAATTATTAGATTTGCAGACACATTTCATATGCTAATTAAGTAATTCTGAAACTGCTGTGTCACAAAATATTGTCACAGCAATACCTCAATATATGTGTGTGTGGAATTAGTAATTGTACAGCATTAGTATTTGAATAAAGGAATAATTATTAAACTTTTTTTCTCAAATAATTCTTTTCACTGTGTTCCTTCAAGGACTTCAAGAATTATCCATCATTTCTAGTGATTGAGGGCTCAAAATAAAACATTCAATGGTACCCATTGATACATTTTAGATTTCAATACAAAAGGAATATCCAACATTAGCTAAAAAGGCTTTATCAATTTTATTGCAATTTTCTGCTTCTTATTTATGTGAATTAAGTTTCTCAACCTTAAACAATATTAAAAATAAAAAGCAAGAAAAAGAAATGAGGGTCTACTTATCACACATTCGATCACACATTGAAGAAATCGTGAAAATACCCCAGGCACAGATTTCACACTAAATAAGCTGCACCAATAGTTGAATAGAAACATTGAAATAAATTAAGTTCATAGTTGTGTTTTTTTCAATCTATGGTTTTATTTCAGAACATTTAAATGTATACCCTTTAAAAATGTTGTTAAGTGTGCCTTTGCTTAAAAACATTGCGAAACACAGCACTAACTGAACCTGTTATAATGGGTCCGAGATAATATTAATAAATTAAAAAAAAGGGCGTTAACTCTGTGTGTTCGGTTTTTCATTGTGAATATTTATAATTTCCAGGGGATTATCTCCCTTGGAACTTATAAAATAATTCAGTTCATGGTTCTTTCCCCTTAAAAATTAAATTTTTCAAATTCTTATTTTAAAGGCACTTATCAGGTATGCAAAATTTTATATGGAGGATAAATAACACCAGCTTAATTAATGAAAATCTTTGAAAAGTGATGGAACACGTGGGCAAAAAAACAGAGGCACAGAATTGGACCGAGACAAATTTGCTCAAAGAAATGAGATTGAATTTTAGAATTAAATTAAGAATTTCAGTTAAAATTTGGTTTAGCAAAATCATGTTTATTGTCGGAGGAAAATACATTTTTTCTTGACTGGTTTTAACAGCTTTAAATGAATAAGTCAATAATTTCTTTGGGAAATTAACTTGCTCGAGTTTTTATCTTGGGAGTTTTGATTCCTAACAAAGATAATGTTAAAGTGAATTCTTACTTTGTGTTCACTTTTATTCAAGTATCAAGTTAGTTTTTATTCATCCATAATGCCCATATTTTTCAAAGAAACAAAAAAAAAAAATACATTAAGCTTCATTTTCTTTTTGCCTGTGACTAGAAACTTAATTTGTGACGTTACAAGAAAACCTAACTCTCAAGAAAACAAAAGGTTTTGATTTTTTCCCTCCCACCTTTCTTTTTAGACTTCAATATATTAAAATTAAATACAAAATTTTCATAAAATCGGACACAAGTATTCAGTTGAACATGTTATCAAGTGGTCACCAAGTAAGGGTCCTGTTTTGCATTATACATGCATTGTAAACGGAACCCCCACTTTAAACCAGGTCATCCACACCCATTTTAAAATTTATTTGTTCTCAAAACTGTAAAATTTTCAGGACAACTGAAAGTCATATTTGGACAAAGAGGACCAAACTACATTAAAAGAAGACATTTTCCAATGAAAATTCCCAGGTGCACTCAACCAAACCTTAACTGAAATACCCAATCCTGTTTTTAATGTACATACTTACACAATCTTGCATACATGTATTCATGCAAGTGTTGTAATATTTGTGATTATAATCTAGATTTAATGACATGTCAGGGAAGACATCAGGTTTCAGCCTTTAGTCACGTGTTCATGTTGAATTCTTTGTTGAGATGATTTAAGTCAAAAGAATCACAGGCAGCGTGCAAATCCATACGGTTCATGAGGGTGAGTGTCATCCGAAGCGTTCCCCAAATATTCTTAGACATAGACTGACCAGGGCTGGTAATCAAAGTTGGATTTTGACTCTCGGATTTTTGCTGAAGGTTAAGAGCCACAAGAAAATGTTCCACGGCAGAACTGCAATAGAAAAAAAAAAAAATTTTAAATTTAACCAACAGAACTGAATATTCAGAAAAAAAAGGAGAGACATACAGGAAACAGAGAGAGGGAGAGAGACACGCACAGGAGATGGAATGAGAGAGAGACACGCAAAAACACACACACGAAGATGGAATGACAGAGAGAGAGAGAGAGAAACACACACGAAGATGGAATGACAGAGAGAGAGAAAAACACACACACGAAGATGGAATGACAGAGAGAGAGAAAAAACACACACGAAGATGGAATGACAGAGAGAGAGAGAGAGAAAAAACACACACGAAGATGGAATGACAGAGAGAGAGAGAGAGAAAAAACACACACACGAAGATGGAATGACAGAGAGAGAAAAACACACACACGAAGATGGAATGACAGAGAGAGAAAAACACACACACGAAGATGGAATGACAGAGAGAGAGAGAGAGAAAAACACACACACGAAGATGGAATGACAGAGAGAGAGAGAGAAAAACACACACACGAAGATGGAATGACAGAGAGAGAGAGAGAGAGAGAGAAAAACACACACACGAAGATGGAATGAGAGAGAGAGAGAGAGAAAAACACACACACGAAGATGGAATGACAGAGAGAGAGAGAGAGAAAAAACACACATACGAAGATGGAATGACAGAGAGAGAGAGAGAAAACACACACACGAAGATGGAATGACAGAGAGAGAGAGAGAAAAACACACACACGAAGATGGAATGACAGAGAGAGAGAGAAAAACACACACACGAAGATGGAATGAGAGAGAGAGAGAGAAAAACACACACACACGAAGATGGAATGAGAGAGAGAGAGAAAAAAACACACACACGAAGATGGAATGAGAGAGAGAGAGAGAAAACACACACACGAAGATGGAATGACAGAGAGAGAGAGAAAAAACACACACACGAAGATGGAATGACAGAGAGAGAGAGAGAGAGAAAAACACACACACGGAGATGGAATGACAGAGAGAGAGAAAACACACACACGAAGATGGAATGAGAGAGAGAGAGAGAAACACACACGAAGATGGAATGACAGAGAGAGAGAGAAACACACACACGAAGATGGAATGACAGAGAGAGAGAGAGAGAAAAACACACACACGAAGATGGAATGACAGAGAGAGAGAGAGAAAAACACACACACAGAAGATGGAATGACAGAGAGAGAGAGACAAACACACACACAAGATGGAATGACAGAGAGAGAGAAAAAACACACACACACGAAGATGGAATGACAGAGAGAGAGAGAGAGAAAAACACACACACGAAGATGGAATGACAGAGAGAGAAGAGAGAAAAAACACACAGAGAAGATGGAATGACAGAGAGAGAAAAAAACACACGAAGATGGAATGAGAGAGAAAAACACACACACGAAGATGAAATGACAGAGAGAGAAAAACACACACACGAAGATGAAATGACAGAGAGAGAGAGAGAGAGAAAAACACACACACGAAGATGGAATGACAGAGAGAGAGAGAGAGAAAAACACACACACGAAGATGGAATGACAGAGAGAGAGAGAGAAAAACACACACACGAAGATGGAATGACAGAGAGAGAGAGAGAGAGAGAGAAAACACACACACGAAGATGGAATGACAGAGAGAGAGAGAGAGAGAGAGAAAAAACACACACACGAAGATGGAATGACAGAGAGAGAGAGAGAGAGAGAAAAACACACACGAAGATGGAATGACAGAGAGAGAGAGAAAAAAACACATACGAAGATGGAATGACAGAGAGAGAGAAAAACACACACACGAAGATGGAATGACAGAGAGAGAGAGAGAGAGAGAGAGAAAACACACACACACGAAGATGGAATGAGAGAGAGAGAAGAAAAAAAACACACACGAAGATGGAATGACAGAGAGAGAGAGAGAAAAAACACACACGAAGATGGAATGACAGAGAGAGAGAGAGAGAGAGAAGAACACACACACGGTTGATGGAATATGAGAGAGAGAAAAACACACACACGAAGATGGAATGAGAGAGAGAGAGAGAGAAAAACACACGAAGATGGAATGACAGAGAGAGAGAGAGAAAAAACACAAAGATGGAATGACAGAGAGAGAGAAAAAAACACACACGAAGATGGAATGACAGAGAGAGAGAGAAAAAACACACACACACGAAGATGGAAATGACAGAGAGAGAGAGAGAGAAAAACACACACACAAGATGGAAATGACAGAGAGAGAGAGAGAAAAAACACACACGAAGAACTGGAATGACAGAGAGAGAGAGAAAAAACACACACGAAGATGGAATGACAGAGAGAGAGAGAAAAACACACACACGAAGATGGAATGACAGAGAGAGAGAGAGAAAAACACACACACGAAGAGGGAATGACAGAGAGAGAGAGACACACACACACAGAGATGGAATATGAGAGAGAGACACACACACACAAGATGGAATGAGAGAGAGAGAGAAACACACACACGAAGATGGAATGAGAGGAGAGAGAGAGACACACACACACGAAGATGGAATGAGAGTGAGAGAGAGAGAGACACACACACACGGAGATGAAAAGAGAGAGAGAGAGACACACACACACACGGAGATGAAAAGAGAGTGAGAGAGAGACACACACACGGAGATGGAAAGAAAGAGAGAAACATACACACGGAACGGGTTGAGAGAGAGAGAGAGAGAGAGAGAGAGACACACACACGGAACAGGTTGGGGGAGAGAGAGAGAGACACACACACACGGAACGGGTTGAGAGAGAGAGATGCCCAGTGAATCTATTTAAATAATAATTAGACATTAAATCAATGTGATACATCATTAGCCACTTGGAGCAGAAAAATGATGTCAGGAAGAACTATAAAAGGGTTGAGAGAAATACAGGGAACGGGACAAGTGAGAAAAATGACGTCAGGAAGAACTATAAAAGGGTTGAGAGAGAGAGAAATACAGGGAACGGGACGAGTGAGAAAAATGACGTCAGGAAGAACTATAAAAGCTGCAGTAAAATTAGTTCAATGACTCCTACGCCGACAAAAAAAATATATCTTTGGACTACCATCAAGGGTTTTATCACTGGCATGTCACAATAATTAAATGAGAAAAGAGATCAGGCTGATGATGGAGATTCATTCCTGCAGCTAGGATCATCACATGGAAAGGAGATGGGCACTGTCAGATAACTTCCCTTGCATTCTGAGATCCCATGAGGGACAAAATTATGTCCCACGCCATAACAATTTTTGGATTAAGAGATTTATCAATCCAGCAATTCATTCAATTTTCCTATTTACTATAAAGCAAAAAAACAAAAAAAAAAAAGAAATCACTTACTTGTGTGCTCCCAGGTTGATACAAGCTATTCCAAGATTGTACCTTGAACGGATGAAGCCAGGAGCTAATTTCAGCGCCTGGTGGTAGGCTTCAACTGCTTCCTCACTTTTATTGCTGTTGGCCAATGAGGCTCCTAACTTGTTCCAAAGTTGGGCATCCTGCACAACAAACAGAAAATTTGTTAGAATCATTGAAGACAAAAGATAATAGTTTTGTCTTTACTGATTGAGTTAAAAGGCAATAGAGGGGTTCGGATTAATAAAAAAAAAAAATCCAAGTTCAAGGTCATAATTCTGGTGATCAAAAGAAATCAAATCTTGAATATCCAATGTCAGAAAATGCTGGGGGCATTAAATTAAAAAGATAAAAAAAAATTCCATCACAACTCACACCTTTCTCTTCACTCACAAAGATGCCAAGCAATACTGTGGTCCAAAGTAATGTTCTTTTATTGGGGTAAGAAAGGTTCATTTTCTACAGCTTAGGTTAAAGCCAGAAAATATTACTATTACTATTTAACCCACAGGTAGGGATAGAAGAGGTGGATTCATACCTTTCCCAAGAGTATTGGCGTGTAAGTGAATATAACAAACCAAACTAGAATTTGAACTCAGCTCTCCAATTAACAATTTCAAGCCATTATCCAATATACCATCAGCACATCCAAGCTTACAGTAACTGGTATTCCCAAGCAGTCACCCATCTAGGTACTGAACAGTCTCAACATTGCTTAACTTCAGAGATCATACTAGAAGCAGTGTTTCAACAGGATGAGACTATTGAAATTGCCTCGATTTTGAATCTAATTTTCATTTTCCAACAGGTGAACTAGAAATAAAAGATAACTTGGTTTTCTTCTTCATTGCCATACTGATAGATATCAAAATATACGCCAACAATTGATTGTTAAGTAAACCATCAGAATTTCCTTTTTTTTTTTTTTGAAAACCACAAAATGTTTCATTATTTAAAAGTCATCAATAAAAGTTTCTTCCAGACAAGACAAACTCATTTTCTCAGGTTTTAACCAAATATATCGAGAGTACCAGTTTGCTGGTAAAACACTTTAATTTCTAATCGCTGAAAAGAATTATACAGCCAACATAGAAATATGGCTGTACATATGAGCAACTTTGTACTGGCCATTTGCTGCTCTTCATGGCTGGTTCGTTTTGTTACAGACAGTAATGAAATAGTGAAACTGACACAATATATATATATTTCAAGGATAGTGTTGTAGAGTAGGATTCGGCTTACTTCCTGCTCTTCCCTACTACTGTGACAATAGACTGCTCCTACATATAAATATGGTAAGTAGCCATATTAGAGTAGGATTTGAGGAGTAGTTGATTTACTCAAGTTTTTTCATTCTATGTATGAATGTCTAATAAAACTCTTCTTTCACTTTCACTCTCTCTTATTCTTGGCTGCTTTGAACAACATATAGAGTATTGGCAAGTGGGGTAAGATTACACAGTCAACTCAACACTGGAAGCATGGTGGGTCCTGGCTGTAAAGGTCTGAACTGGTGGAACTAAAGCTTGTCTGAACATTCGTCCTGGAAATAGCGAGAGGTTTGCGACGTCTTATCTGCAACAATTCAGTCTGAAGGGATAAATTCAAAGAAGAGGGTATTGGGTATCTTATTATTAGCAAGTAGTGACTGTGATACTCACTGGGTGGCCTGTACTTCTATACTTAAACTAAGCCAAGATTGTCAAACAACAATACACTAGAAGGAATTGTAGTACCAATTATTAATACATTTACCTGGCTGACAAAGAATTCAGTCTCTGTTAACTAATGTGTTGTTGGTTAGAAAATCTGAAAGGGTTTTACTCACCTGTGGACGGACTTGGACAGCAGCTGTGAAGCAATCAATGGCTTTATCAAGATCGCCACTCAAGTTAAAGAGGACACCTAGACCACACTGGAGGTTTTAAAAAATAAATAACAAATATAAGAAAGGGGAAAAAATAAGATGAACAGAAATAATCTTAGAAAAAATAAGATCTTTAAAATCTACCTTTTTTTTTTTTTTTTAATTGTCTCTCGCAAATTAAAAGAATGTGAAAATTTGTATAGCTAAAGCTTGGACCGCCTTGAATAAAATGGATGTAATCTGGAAATCTAATCTACCTGAAACAGAGATATTTTTGTGCCACTATAGAGGTGGTTTTAATGTATGGTGCCACTGCTTCGATATTAACTAAAACCCTAGAGCAGTGATTCTCAGCATGATCCTCATAAGTGTGCTGCTAAATAACGTCAAAAGTAAGAAGCAAGAAATGTTAAATAATAGTCTTGTTTAGAGAATTGTATTTCTCCTCTGACTTCCTCATTTTGACCTCTGAGGTCAGATACAGGAAAACAAAGGAAGTCGCTTTTGATTGGCTAAAACTAGCGTGGGAATGTTAGAGAAAGAAAGAGATTTCAGGAGTCTAGCCTTACATGTTGAACAATGTAGACATGTTAAAGTCGTGTCTGGAAACTGTTCCTTAGTGAGGTGGTATAGCAAACTCACTGGTGAGTTAGAAATGTACATGTCAACATGTTGAATAAAACTAGATAAATTTTAAAATTTCTTTGAAGTTCTCTTATCTCTGAACTAAAAAAAAAAAAAACCAGCGATCAGCAAGCAAGAGAAGATCCAATAATGTGAGTGAATCAAGACTGTCACCCCAAGACTAACTCCTACCAAAGGGCTATGCAACAGAAAGATTATGCTCAACTGCTTATCACACATTCAACCAAACATTAAAGAAAACACACACAAAAAAAAAACACCAGCCACATGTTTCGTACTAAATATGCTGCACAAATAGTTCAATAGACATGTTGAAATAAACTAAGTTCATATTTGTGTTATTTTTTTTATAAATCTATGGTTTTATTTCAGAACATTTAAAAATTTTTCTAAATGTGCCATGATATTTTTATTTGCTCCAAGGTGTGCCATTGCTTAAAAATATTGAGAAACACAGCCCCAGAGTCTAAGCTTGATTGAAACCTACACTCACTTACTTTACATCTTACATGCTAACAACTCGTGGTTTGGTTTGATTTTAGTTTGTTTAATGGTATATCAACTCCTTGTGGGTCATTTAATGCCAAAATTTAATTTTCTTAGGAGCTTTGGTAATTTTTCTTTTCTTTTTCCAATGATGTATTTTACTAGTAATTTTTTTTACTATGAAAATATATTGCTGGAATTCTTACTACAAAAATGCATTTTTATACTTTTATTATGTTTTGACTCCAGTTCACTATTTGCCCATAGGTGGGACCCTAACAGGTTAGGGTGGATCTGGGAACAACAGCAGTTAAGAGGTGGGTCCACACTCCTCAAAACCTCCTAGTTACAGGACTTGCTGTGAGATATAGTTTATTGCCAAACCTAGGATGAACATCTCTTTGAGACAACATCCAACAAAATGACAGCTTTATAGACACATCACTAATATTTCTGCAATCTTACATGAACTTTACTGGACACTGCTGTCAAGCGATATAAGAACTTGCAAGTAATCTATTGCTCTGGACACCTAGCCATGGAGCAAGATGGGTTGGTCACCCAGTAACCATCTACATTGACCAACTATGTAATGACACAGAATGCCTCCCTAATGACCTTCTGACCCTAATGCAGGACCATGATGGATGGTGTGATCAACTTATGAATGTCTGAGGTAGCTTGATTAAATACACAGGTGATCCTTTTTGGGAACACCTCTCCTTGCTTCACAGTGTAGCCAGTAGCTATTGTTTGATACTTACCTGAACATCAGGATCTATTTGGTTGGGAGAGAGACGAGCAGCTGCGATGTATTGGTCACGGATTTCCATCATTTTATGCCTGCAACAAACCCAATAAGAATCCCATCAACAGAAGTACAAATGCGATATTGTCCGTAAATCAAAACTAATAATGTTATTTATTCAAAATATCCAAATTCAATGTGGTGTCGATGACATTTGCCAAATGAGAAGGAATCTTTAGTCTTGAGAATTTAATAAGGATCTCTTCATTTTTCTTCTACTGATCTAGACACTAAAAAATAGTTCAACTTAATTGGTATTTATTCCACTAGTATACAGACATGGCTCACTGTCCAACTGTCTACTTATAAAAAAGAAAAAAAACACCACTGTTTTTGTTACTAGATTTTATCATCTGCTCTATTTACAAATAGAAGATTCAGCCCTTATAATTTTAATCCTAACACAGCAAAACAAACAAAAACAAGGGTATGGAGATGTGCAATTTAAATGAAATTGGGTGGTAGGAAAAATAAATGTCCACTAGAATCTGTTCCTGCTGACAGCTAACATGGAAACCGAAACAATGCTTCCCTTGGGACTCTGTTTCCTGCACACCGTAAACAACACTATTATTGCTCTTTCTCTGGAACACGGGTATAACCTTCAGTCTCAAAGAACAAACTCACGAATCAAAAAGTCAGTTCTTTTTATCCTTCCTCTAGGGTCTTGGGCAAGAAACTGAGATCTCTCGTTTGTGTTAGCCTCATTCTCGCTGATAATGCATGTGCTGTGTCAATTCAATATTGATTTGCCAGAGTTCGCCTCACAGGTCTATGACGTCTACAAACAAATGTACAGAATTCACCTTCTCTTGCTTCGGTGAGGTATGTCTCTACCACAGGAGATAATCTGAATAATTCATGAAATACTAGCAACACTTCATCATAGACCTTTTGACAATACAAGATGTCTGGAGAAGGCATTGGTCAAAATGTAGTGATCAAAAGAACAAAGATAAGGATACTAGTCTGAATAATTTATGGAATAGTAACTGTTAACTATTGTTTATTGTAACTGGTATAACCAGTTATCTCTCCCTCCTCAATTTAATAGACTGTTCCTATCAGCAGTGGCAGCAGCAGGAGCATAGATTTGTGTCCCCTTCTGCCCAGGGTGGATTGGGCCATTGGATACTATTTAAACTGTTTTGATTTCTCTCTTGGCACTTTGAATTGCCGAGAGGAACTACTGACATTTCAAACCAGACCTGTACTCTTATCAGTAACAATACTTCTTCTCAGACCTTCAGACAATACAAGAATGCTGGAGAATACATTAGCCAAAATGTAGTGATCAAAACAACAATGATAAAGATACTAGTCTGAATAATTCATGAAATAATGACAAGACTTCATATCAGAAGTTCCAAGTTGGATGAAATAAAAAGAACTTCAACCAGTTACGATTGCAAATAAAATGTTTAACGCGAGGCCTCACCTGGAGGCAATTGTACCAACATTGGCACTGGCATCTGATTGTTCAAAGTCTTTGACCAGATGGGAATATTGAGGATTGTGTGTCAGCCAAGACTTAAGTGCATTGCAGGCTAAAGCTTGCTGGTATTCATTGGTATAACTCACAGCAATTGCCATCCAAGCTGTTAGATTATTAGGCTGAAGCTCCAGACACCTGCAAAAGAATTCAATAACACTTTTAGTAAGGTAACCTAACATCATCCAGGAACAATACAGCTTTTAACATCTTCATTCTCAATTTGGCACTGCTTAAGAAGACTGGCCCACTTTAAAAAAACAGGGGAAAAGTTTTATGAGAATAATTTTTATTGATCAGCATTCCTTAGCATTTCAAGCTGCAACAATTGTCACAAAAAATAATGGATATTTTTTATCAATATAGAAGATGGGTCCTGTTCATTTTCTCTATTTTTTACGAGCAAAGTCTATCTAAGCAGTGCCTCCAGTTTATTATTTTTTTTAATGGCAGAAAAAACATAATAATGTGCACTAAACTTACCGTATATACTTTTGTATAAGTCTACTTCATGTATAGTGCACCTCCTGAATTTATTCTTAAAAACCTGATTTTTTTTATATAGCCCATGTTATAATGCAACCCCAGCTTCTGAGCAAAGCTAGTAGGCTTACTATAGTCAAATATTGCAGTACTGGGCAAAATCCTAGATATATTCTATAGTAAAAAACATCTCTCGCTCTCTCAAGCCTTTTATAGTTCTTCCTAACATCAAAAGTACCTCTCCTGCCTAGAAAAAATAGGTGAGAAGATTGATGATGGCCCGTATGATGATCGGGCTCAAGCAGAAGACTTGGACATGTTATTTCGTATTGAAGATGCTGAAAACAAGACTTCCATGTTTTTTAGTTAATATGCATGTGGTGTCCATCAGTCTTGAGAGCATCTGTTATGGCTGTATAGGCCCACACAGGAGCGAGTCTCGATTGCAACCAATGCACATGAAAACGCTCTCCCCTGATGTCACCATGTTGTATTCTTTCCTTCAAGCATGTTTCTCCCCAGTGGCAAACCTCCATTTCTTCTCTCCTTGCTTCAGCCCTCAATGTAAATTGTGTCTCCAGCATGAGCAAGATTGCTGGCAGCATCTTCCCACCTCTCAAATTCCATGTCTATTGCCTTCATGTCTCTTTTGCAGACATCCTTGTAGCAAAGATGAGGTCGCCCCCTTCCCAGTGGCCAGTCCCCTGTACAGAAGTATCTTTTGAAATCCTCCTATTAGTAGACTTTTGCTTCCGGTGCTTAGCCATTGCAGTGAGGCAATACCAGAGTGTCCTCTCCAGAGTACAGGCCTGGGCATGATTTTATGAGAGATCGGCAGTTGCCCATGCACTATGTCTCCCCTCTCCACAACACTGAGGTTGTCCAAGGGAAAGGTAGAGGCCAATACAGCTTGGCACTGGCATTATTGCAGGAGTTGCCAGAAGTCTGGCACCCAATTTGTCGTCAGGGTTTACTCCTGAGACCTTTCCCATGATTGGGTATGACCACAAGGCATCAGAGGTTTAAAATCAGAGTTTTTAGTTAATAAATGTTCAGTAAATAATTTCTTCCTGTAGCATGTTTCATAATACTTTGAACAGAGAATGAGATAGACGACTGAAACATATATGGTACAGATAAATATCAGACAAGAGGGATGCTTTTGGAAAAGCATTACCTCAGCAATGTAAACACATGCAAACAAAGTTGAATGCAAATTGGCAAAAGAAAAAAAAAATTGTTCAGTCTTCATTAATATAGATTTTAAGCAGCACACACAGTGAATGATGTTCTGCTGTTCATGTAGCAACAGAAAGAAAGAATCTGGGCTATGGGAGGCAAGCTAAAGGAGCTTATCTGTATCATTCAGATTAGCCAAACATACCGTGAGAATGTAGGCTTAACAGGTAGGTTAGTCACCAAAAATGCACGATTTTTAACCTCTTCAAAAAAAAAAAAAAAAAAAATTTATCTGTACATAGTGTAAAAAAAAAGTTGATAATAAAAACTAACACTATACTTGGGTATGTACAATATTTCACAGTCTTCAGTGGAATGTCCCTTGAAATGTAAAATTTTGATTAACTCAAACTGAGAGATCATACAATTTGATAAATAAAATAATAGAATCAGTTATTGACAAGTTGAAGATGCTTCTTTTAATGATTTCAATGCTCTCAAAAAGCATTTTCTTGTGGGGGTTTACAGGTGGTTATCTGTGGATAATATACACCAATTTTTGGCCTTTTAAAAATGCATGCAAAGGTAATTTGTACAAAGATATATTTTGCATGTACTGATAAGATTTTATCTCTCTTAAAATAAAATATACAATAAAGAGTTCATATCAGAAAGTTCTTGTGTTGAACGTCTAAAGTCCTTTAGCATATAAGAAAGAGAAAAGAGTCCTTGTAAATATGTATGGAAGTATCTTGTTGATAGCAGTCTAAGTGATATGTCCCGGAAAGGGATATATTTGAATGAAGTAGCTAAGTGGTTTTGACTACTATAACCAAGTAGAATACAGTAGCAGTAATCAACTGGTACACGTCGTAGTCGCAGGTAAGAAGTGTAGATCAATGGCGTAGTCCAATGGGCGTTGTTATAGACTTAGCTCTCAGACTAAGGCTCTTGATTCACCTACACGTCTGTCGGTATTTATGACAGACACCAGCCAATCATATTCCAGTGAGTGGGGAACACAGGTGTATGCATATTCCATTATATCACTAAGTAATCCTTTTAACTTTCTGTGGGATTTTTAGGTGTCTGAAAATGTAGGGCATGGGAGAAGAGACAAAAAGTCTGGTTTCTTTGTCTAGTTGTCTGTCTTTTTTTACACTTTTCCAAGACAAAGGAATTAATTCTAGAATTGTCTCTGGATTCCTGATTCGTTTACAGATGTGAATCCCTTTTTTTCTTCATCTCCATTTAGGAATGATAACCTTTTGGTCTCTTTTATTTATTGCTTTTTCTTCTTATATTTTTATTTTTATTTCTTTATGACAAACTAAAATCATTTGCCAACTTTTATTTAAATAATGACCTTTTTATTTTTCTATCACTACACACACAGAACACACAGAAATTGCCTCATGTTCAGGTTGTGAATTCATTCTTGTCTTTACTTGTATATTTATTGTGTTGCCTCCATATCCAATCTTTGCTTGATCTCAGTCTCTTTGATTCCATGATGGCTAATTCATGTTAGTCAATCACATACAAATGTTTCACAATTGAATAGTTGAGTCTGTCTATATTTCTGAGATGAGGTATTATGTACATTATTCGGACTATTGTTCTCATCTTTTTCACCATATTTATCACATTTCGGCCATTGTACTCTCCGGCCTTCTTCAGGTGGTTGGAATTTCGAACAGAACCCTTTATTTCGCTCACTGGGGTAGACTGTTCTAGTTCCACATGCCATGATTGATGGATGTCAGTTATTAGTTATCTCCTGCTAATTTCCCTCTGAAAGTTCTCCACTGCCTTAACCGGGTATTGAACTCACACTCTTTGGGTCCTGTCACTGGATCTAACCAACATCTTTATCCACTGTGCCATGTGTTCTTCAATATGTTTTTGTGAATAGCAGTTAACAGATTTTGTTGAAAGCTCCTTGGAGATGATCAAATCTAAAATATATATGAATGAGGCAGAAAAACACACCAGCCAAAACTTGACCACTTCTATCAGATGAACTCATTTTAATTCTAATTACTTATAACTTCTATAGTTGATTGAGATAAATTTTATCCAAAGAAAAAAAGTTACAGTAGAAACATGTTTATAGAACTTTGTCAGTTCCATATCTAGTTACAGGTCTTTTATGCAATCATCAGAATATTCAATAAGTAGATTCAGGTTTGGTTTAGGTTTATATTTTTTTTTATGGCATATCAACACCTCAATGGGTTATTTAAATCTTGAGGTCATTTTGGACATCAGCTGCCATTTTGACCTCATTTGATTAATCAGACTTACTATTGAGGCAGGAGTAAATGGTAATGTTGTCAGCATAGATGACAAGTTGAGAGCTGATATCATTGGAAGGGTCATTAATGAAGATTAAAAACGGCGTAGGACCAAGGATATGAAAGGATGTACATGAGTGGCCGCTCAGGGCAAGTTTCATCTTATGATTTGATAGGAACAATTGGATCAGCTCAAAAACGTGCCTGGAATTACCATAGCTTTTTACCTTGTTGAGAAGACCTGAATGCCAGTCTCTGTAAAAGGCTTTCAAGATGTCCAATACAAGATGTCCAGGCTTCACTATTTTTACCTAGAGAATGATAGACTCTTTCCACAATTATCCTTAGCTCATCAGCAGTTGATCTGGAGAAACGAAAGCCATATTGCTTATCTGAGAAAAGGCCCTGCGATGAGAGATGACAAACTAATTCAGCATTGATTAGGACCTCTAAGAGTTTCCCAAACAGAAGCAGAAGGCTAATTGGCTGATAGTTGGATGGGTCAGTCAGTTCACCAAAGTTTTTAAAGACTGGAACAAGAGATGATGACTTCCAGTAGAGATAGCAGGAGTTAATTCAGGAGCACACTTCTTAACGACTATTACAGGGATGCCATCGGGCCAACATGCTTTGTGGGGATCAAGGTTAGTGATGATAGCAGAAACCATGGAAGGGGTTATATGCATATCACTCAACAGAGAATCACTTCTATGTGGGAAGTTAGGCAAGGATACTGCAGATGAGTCAAGAGTAGAATTTGAGGAGAATTTACAGGTAAATCATTCAGCTTTATCAGCAGATGATCACCTCAAATCAATTGAAAAGGGAAGGAATAGAGACCTGGTACTTATTTAGTACCCTATTACAGAGCTGATAGTAGTCAAAGTTTTTAGAGACCCTGTGGTAACTCATTCTATCTGCAAACAGGGACTCAACTTCTTCAAGGACTTGCTTACATTTGTTACGAGCAGTAGCAATTACGACAAGACCTGTCACACTGGTATAGCTGGAAAAAGTGGTTCCTGTGTGCTATGGTAGCCACGCATGCTGGTGTGAACCCTGGAGTGATTCTGTTTGTTGGCAGAATACAGTGGACATTCTCATTTTTTGTGGGTTGGACGGTATCTTACTAGCAGATTTACTTTCTTTTAAATTTTTAGTTTTCCCTTTTATTTGATTAAATGTATTCATCACTACACATCACAAATTTTTATATATTTAAAAAAATTTTTTTTAGATATATAAGAGTAATAGCTGGCCACTCGAATTTTAAGATACCTACCTATTAATGTGGCTAGTGAATCCCTATTGCAGAGGCTCACTCAGGCACATTTGTGTTTGTTTAACACCCACAGAACCAACCTGTGGTTTATACTGCAACTATGCAGAGCAGACCTTAGTTACAGTTTCTGGGAAAGAGCATGTTATCTAGTGTGTTCAACAATCTGAACAAGACCAGAACACTCAGACCCTCGGTCACAACGACTTGTGACTTTGTGCTAGCACAGCTATCGACAGCCCCCAAGGGTTCTGTCTACCCAACTTCACTCACAAGGCTTGGGTCAACCTGTGGTATGGTTTCCAGGCACTTTCCAAAGGTGCCACACACTGTGATCGCCCCCTCCAGACCAATAACATCAGGAAGTTTACTTTGTGACAAATCAACCGTGGTGAGATTTGAACCCTGGTTTCATGGTCAGAAAGTGAACAGAAATTTTTACCATAATGAGTGTGCTATTAAGAACCCTTTGAATATGCTATATTTTGGTACATGTTTGAACTGAATGTAGACAGATGAGTTCTTGTGGTGATTGTGTCAATTATTTGAATGAATAAAATAATAAGTCAAACAGTTATATTTGATAATGAACTGTTCACTCCAACATCCAGCGTAAAATATGTATGGTCGTTCCTGTACATGGTAGAGACCTTACTTATCCTAGTGATCCCAAGAGTGAAGTCGTCTGGACTTCCAACTCCTATAGGGCCACCCATAGTGATAAGGTTGAGGAGGAAGGGCCAGACTGAACATGAACTAAACCCAAGCCCCACCCCAAGCCCCACCCCACAGTTCCTAATAGCTGAACAGGCAATGATCTACACAATCTCAATGGCCAAACCGGCAGAAGAGGGCAGCACCATTCAGGCTAGTACAACCAAAGTGGACCTTGACAGACAAAGCATCTGACAACTTGATACAACCAGGTTTGCCAGATCTCATTTGTTTCAATCCCCTTTGAGCTGCAAAAGAGGCACTTTTGATGGGCTTCTCTGATTGCTTACAGTTGTGTCACCAAAATCAAATTCACATGAATGGCTGCCTCATCAAATTCTCTTTGAATGAATAGGTCATGAATCAAACTAAGTAGGAGAAAGATAATTAATGATGACCAGCCTTATCCTGCCACTCTCTTTGGTCTTGTGACACAAGCAAAAAGCATTTTTGCTAAAGAAACAGAAAATTTGTATCAGGTGCCTACTAAAGGCTTGTCACTTTGAACAAGAAATTATTGTTAGCATTTCCTTCTTTTGGATTTTATATCTGATCTTATAGATTCAATATTTCATTAATTTAGGTAAGAAAAAAAACATTTTTATTGTGAAGTTGAGAAATGCTAGGTTAATGTTTACTCATGTATATCAAACAACAAGTACCTATAACTTCATAAAACTGAAATATTAAAAGTAATGGTGGGTGTGGTATTTTCAAATACAATAAAAATAATTGAAAAATGTCAGAGATAAAAGGGATTTTTCTATGTGCTGTTTTCATTCAGGATATTGGCAATCATGGCTCTCCACAACTTCCAAAACTTTGTAGCTCTTAGTAAAGTTTGTCTTCTATATAATAAATGTGACTGTCGACTGTCAGTGTCACTTTTGTAGTTAAAGGGACACAACCCTCTAAGTTTCAATAGCTCATCTTCTATATGATGAATGCAAATGTCAGTGTGTCACACTTTTTCAACTTTACTCCTAGAAGGCCATAGCCCAACATATTATGCCATTTTGGAATCAGGCCAACTCCATGAGCAAATTAAAAACATTCTGAGCTGGATCCAGACCTGAAATTTTGGATTCAAAATTTTTCATTACTGTCTTCGGCAATTTTTTTTTTTTTTTTTTTTACATGATTCTTTGCGACAAATTTTTTTGTACAATAACAATTTTTATAACTTAAAATTAAATTTGGAAATAATTGAAATTAATTGCAAAATCCATCAAAAGCCACCCACAAAATAAAAATAATTGTTTGTATGGAAAGTAAGGGTCTACGTAATTCAAATTGTCTTTAAATTAAGTTGCAGCAGATGAATTATCATTTTAACTTTTAAAAGATAAGCTTAAATATTAATACAATACTTAAATGCAGCAGTTTTGAGTTCTTTTGTAGTTTATTTTTGCCTATCTACTCCTCCCTACCTATTATGATGAAGGCCCAATCAAGAGCCGTCCACAGGATCTAGCTTAAATGTTGCCCAATAGATTGGCTTTTAAACGAGTTTTGCCATATTTCATAATCCCTGCTTTGCCAAAATATTGTATTAAAAATTACATGTATTAGTGAACTTCTTACTTTTTCAGTGCTGAAATAGCAGCAGGTTCTCGTTCATTTTCAGCTTGAGTGGTTCCTAAATACTGCCAGGCCTGAAAAAGAAAAAAAATTCATTTTTAGATGAAAGATGCCTGATTTCAATCAAACTCTACAGCCTACCTATCCCTCAGCTTTTATATAGGCTGTCATTTCCTTTTCTGCAAATTCAATTTACTTAAGCAGGTTTTATGTTGCTGAAAATAACAAGGGCAAAGAACAGGTTCATGCCTTTCTTGAGAGCCTTTCACGGAGCTTCAATCCTGGTTTTTGAATTCTTAAGGTCATTTTTTTTTCTTAAACTTCTATATTACTTAAGTTTTCATACTGTACAATATACAATACCGACTGGCTGGACTGTTATCTTTTAATTTACAAGCTTTTATGGTAATAGTAATGTTAGTAATGTTAGTCCTTTCCTTATGAAAATATTAACCTGAGAATCAGTCATTCAGCTGGATGTTAGATTTCCAATCTATTTCTAAAGGTTTATACAGTAATAATACTGAATAGTCAATGTTATACAGGGTGCGATGTATAAATTGTCGTGTAAATTACACAATAAATGAAAATAACACTGATATCTCATTTTAAAAGATATATTTACCAAAATTACACAAAAATATCTTCAAATACTAAAGAGTAGATTTATTCAATGAAATCACCATTTGCTTCAATCATGGCCTATAGATGACTTCGGAATCTCCTGCAACTCTTCTGGACAGTCTCCTTGTTTAAGTTGGTGAATGCTGCCATAATCCTTGCCTTCAGTTCATCTTTGGTGTTACAAGGAGTTTTGTTGGTCTCTCACTCAGCTGTCCCTCACACATAATAATCAAGGGGGTTGCAGTATGGGGAGTCAGGAGGCCAAATGTAAGGTGATGTGGTTGCATAAATTGTCGACAGCCATCACTGGGTTCTCCTGATTGTGTGGAATAGTGCAGTGTCCTGCTGCCAGACATAGAGACTTCTCACAGCCACCTGCTTTACCCAGGGCAACATTACCTCCTCAAGGCACTTTGATGTAGGCCTCTATGTTGAATCTGAGGCCCTCACCAACAGATTCGTGAGTTCTTTTCTTATCAGAAAAGTCAGAGTGAGTTTTCCAAGCTGTTGTACCTTCGTAATCACTATTAGACTCATCCAACACTTTCCGAATCCTCTTCATTGTCATCAGATTGACACCCAAACACTCTGATATGTTCATATTGGAGCCTCCGGTGTGAATTCCAAACTGTACAGCATGCTGTTTCCAAATTTCTGGTAGAATGAATTATAACATGGCACTCTTTTTCTCACAGACAACTGACCTTTCTATACTGTGCAGTCAACAAAATCATAAACAAACAACATGCATGTGCAAAATTAAAAATATAAAATGGTGACAATTTAACCATCACACCCTGCCGTATGTACAGCAATAATACAGGATAGTAAACCTAATAATAGAACAAAATAATACAGAATAGTAAACCTAATAAACAAACTCAAAAATAAGCTCAATATTTTGTACATTACTTTGATTTGCATATGGTAAAAATAGTAAATTTTTATTTATTTTTCAATTTATTTTGTATTTCTCATATTTTGAAGAACAAGAAAAGCAATCAGGATCAAAATTTCCATACAATGTACTGGTTGGTCAGATTTTAAGAAATTTTTTTGAGATTTTATTGCCGGTCGTAACTCTGGGTTGATCAATAAACAGGTAAGTTATGTGTGGCTGTATTGCTAATGCGCAAAAGGATGCAGAAACTCTGTATTTTCATAATACAGCACCTGTTATTGTCACATCACTGCATTTGCATACAGAAAAACTGACCAACATCCACTTACTTCAACATGATTAGGGTCCTTCTGTACGGCCGATTCAAATAATAAGACAGCGTTTGGAATGTCGCCTTCCTTTAATTTGGTCAGTCCAGCCTCAAAAGGATTTAACTGAGACAAGAATGGATTTTCAGAAGCAAACTCATAATTCTGAAGGCAGAAAAAAAGAAAAGAAAAAAAACATGGATTTGAAAATTAAAAAAGATATTAATGGCATCACATAACAAAGACAAAAAAAAAAAGATATCTTCATATACACATATATTTCATAATAACAGATTGCGACAGCTATTAGAGAGATGTGATTAAATATAATTTAATGTTTAAAAAAAAAATTATTGAGTATTATTATTGTTTAGGTAATTAGCATTATAACAGCACAAATAGCTATATTGTGGAAAAAGGAATTTTTGACAATATACGCATTTTTTTTTTTTTTTTTTTTTACATATTTATGGTTATTTTTTTAACTTTTATCAAAAACAACATTCTTGTACATGTAGTTATGGATAATATTATACAATAATTACTAATTTTTTTTAATTAATAACTATTTGTGCTCAGTTGTTGATATTAATAGCTATCTGCCAATACAATACAATAATAAAAATTTAAATTTCATCTTTCACAATCTGTAACAACAACAAAAAAAGATTTCTTTATATACACACATATATCATATTTATTTATAGATAGAGATAATATTATTGTAATAATTTACAGTATTTACTTTTATTAAAGTTTTTATGAAAGATATATATCCAAGAACAGACAAGTAAACAGTAAAACGTTGCTGAGAGTTATAATGGACAGGAAGTAGTGGAGAGCCACTGTCGCCAACAATTTGGACTCAAAACCAGCACTGAAAAATTATCTGTCAAACAAAAAATCATCGAAATCGAATGAAAACTGTGGAAACGCATAAACATCTGATCACATACAGACAGACACACACATTTTGAGAATTATAGATATAGATAATATTATTATAATAATTTAAAGTATTAATTTTTATTAAAGTTTTTATGAAAGCTATATATCCAAGAACAGATAGTAAATAGTAAAATGTTGTTGACAGTTATAATGGACAGGAAGTAGTGGAGAGCCATTATTGCCAACAATTTCATATTAGGTTGTTACATATATTCGTTCATTTCTTTCTGATGTCTTTTGTAGCATTTTTTTGGGTCTTAGTAACTCTCATCCTGTGAAACCATTTTCTAACTTTATTGGAATTTTATTTACTGTCACTCGTCATTTTCACTTAATTGGTAAAGTTCAGAAATAAAAGCAAATGAGTGCCACATGCAACACAGACCCAAGAGAAACAATTTCTAGTATTCCTCTGTTGCCATCAGTTTACTCGCTCAATGCCAGGTTACTTGTGCATACAATTAAAGAGCTTGGTTAGGAAGTTCTGCTACACCCACCATATTCTCCTAATTTTGCCCCTTTAGAATAGGACCTTTTTTGGTTGCTTTCTAACAATTTAAGGGTTGTTTTGTTCAACAACAATGTGTAGCTTAAAATGTTGCTTGATGAATTTCTTCAATAAAAACTTGGTGATTTCTATCGTCAAGTCATTGAACAGTTAGTGAATTGTTGGCAGGAGGTGGTAAACATTGAAGTGGAGTACATTGCTGTATGATTTATCAGAACTATTAATAAATAGTAAGTATTAAAATAAATTATAAAAATATGAACAAATTTATGTAACAACCATATATATATATATATATATATATATATGTGTTACATAATATATATATATATATATATATATATATATATATATATATATATATATATATATATTATGAAATGGACTAAGTCCCACAATTATTTTAATATATTTTCTGTTTATACATTATTTTTATAGATATGAATATTTAAGTAAATGCTCTGTTTATAATAAAACAGTATTAACTATATTTACCGGCCTGAATGTCCAAGAGATTTCATAGAAAATATGTGCCCATCGACAGAAATCGAATCTGTATCCTACACAGAAACGTCATATAGCCTGACATGCTATACCATTTAGCTACAGAGGAAACGTCTGGTTAGCAAAGTCAAATTACTCTTTTTAAACAACAAATTTCCCATGCTTTTTCTTGAATGCTCATATCTGCTCAAAGTGTATCTTAATGTAAACAAATGACAACATGAAATGGACTAAGTCAACAATTATTTTAATATATAAAGAACAATAAGAAATCAGATCCCAGACAAGAAACAAATTTTGAATGATTGATTTGTTTTTTATGGTTTATCAAATCCGCAGGTTATTTAAAGCCAGAAATCTTTCTTTTTTTTTTTTTTTTGAGATAATGATTTAGTGATACAAGTCTTACGAATTAACTCATAATCTAGAGGGGGGAGAGGGTGAAAGTGGATAAGTTTGAAAATATAATTTATTTTTGAGATAAAAATTTAGTGATACAAGTTTTACTAATTAACCCATAGTAAGCGGAGGGGAGGGGGGCGGTTGAAAGTGGATATGGTTTAAAAAAAAAAAAAAAATGAATTTATTTTTTATTTAATGATTTTTTTTTTTTTTTAGAAGATATTTTTGTGATTTTTTTTTTTAAGATAATGATTTAGTGATGCAAGTCTTACATAGTCAGTGGGAGACAGGGGGTGAAAGTGGATTCCTACTTTTCCCAGCGGGTATTCACATGTAAGTGAATATAATCAACCTGATTGAAATTGGAACAGATTAACAATTCTGAACCAGTATCCATTACACTACTTGCGCATCCAAGCTTACAGTACCTGCTATTCCCAAGCGGTCACCCACCTAGGTACTCACCAGGCATGATGTTGCTTAACCCCTTCCCTGCGAATTATTTTGTGAAAAACATTTCATTTTCAGACAATTTTTTTTTATTTCTTTTTAATATAGTAACTAAGAAACTAAGGCACCTTGAAGTACCCGAGCATTGGTTAACACCTCTACCAGATGTAGGAGTCGACAACTGGACTCATTTCAAGCTCAGAGGAGCATAAAATGAATCAAGATTGACATATAAACATGTCTGTAGCTGGTTTTTGAAAGTCTTGTTTTAGGCAGGTTTATTCATCCATAACTGAAAAAAGACACTTTCAGTAAAAACATATGTACACATCTACATTGAAGTAGTGGTTAAATTTGGTGATTGTACAGGAACCAATGTTTCAACATGCTATGTCAGTAAGCAAAAAAATAAAAACACAAAAGTTTTATTTCTAGTGACCTCGTATTTTTAAGCTAAGGATTTCATATCTTTTCAATATCAAATACATATTAGTGACGATAGTAATCTGTTAGAAAAAGAAATGAGGGTGAGCAGTGAATGGTGCAGTAACACACGGATGTTTTCAAATATTATAAATAAGTAATTCATGTTTTTACCTGATAAAGTTCTTTGTTTGTGTATTCTGTCAACCAAGGATGATCAGGGTTAGAATTTCTATAAAGAGAATGACAGCAAAATGACATCAAACAAATTTCTTTTAATCTCCTTGAATAAAAAAAAAAAAAAATGAAATACACTCTCTCTCCTGTCCATTGCTCTTTTATTATTTTCTGTAGAGATTAAAGTTTGAAAAATTAATCAATGTCATCTTCACTGCTATACAAATATATATTCAGGAAATGTGAACAATATGCCCAAAGCATATGTTTTTTTTTTTTTCAGTCATTTCACCACAAGAAAGGCAATAAAGCCACTAAGACACAAGATTTTACTGAGTGTTAGAGAATATGAGAAAAATATACTATTAAGAAGAGAGGACAATCCATAACTTGGATAATACAGATTTACTGAGACTTAGTAGAAACAGGGTGAGCAATAATTGAATGGTGTGTACAAGAGTGGAATGTTTTAGATAGTAAGAGGTTGCATAGATCTACTCTCTCTACATCCTTCTTTAGGATCCAGGGACAGAGTGGGTCCAAAATGGATGATAGTGAATCATTTGCTGTTAAAATTTTTGATGCAAGCCAATGTATGCACAAGCAGTTTGAATACTTTTTTTTTTTCTTTAATCATTTCACCCCAAGCAAGGCAATAAAGCCACTAGGGGTTACTGAATGTTAGAGAATATGAGAAAAAAAACTACTATTAAGGAGAGAGGACAATAAAAGAACAGTGATTAAGAAGACAGAAGATAATGATTGACATTGCATTTAAATTTTTGAAGATCAAAGTTGATTGTAAAGCAAGAAACCAGAAGAGAGTTCCACAGGTGAGAAATGCGATAGGAGAAACAGTCAGCATAGAACTTATGGTTGCATCTAGCCATTTCAACTGTAAAATGATGAAACCTTGCTGACAATCTTAACTTCACAAAATCTAAATACCATAAAGGAAAATTCATTAGAACAATTACCATGAAAGTATTTATAGAAAAGGCACAGGGAAACTAATTACGGTATTGGAAAAGTGACTGATGCCATGATACCAGCTCAGGACCAATAACATTGTTGTGGAGCGGGGGGTACTTATTTCCCCCTACAAAGGACGATAACTCAAAATACAATAGAGTTACATCCCTTGTCCGGCAGTGGGAATGTGGCATTTCTGAATCTAACAAGGTGATAATTTGATACACATATGAAACTCATGGTTTAAATCCAAATAATCCATTGCTGTTATCAGGCAGTAAATGAATAAAAGTTATGTTATTATATGTTAAAATACTCTTGTCTTTTATTTTCATTCATTTTTGTTCATCCCAACAACCTGGGATATAACAAATTTTTTGGCAACAAGGACTTCAAAATCAACATGGCAATTTCACCAGAGATGTTTATGAAGATTTTACGCCAACAGCAAGAACAATTTCAGAAGTCACAACAGCAGTCATTGACAGCACAGTTCCAGAAAAAAATCAAAATTTTCTGCACCGGAACAAACCAAAATACCAATTCAGCGGATATTTTGGCCAACAGCATCACAGAATTCCATTATGACCCAGTGAGTGGAAAAACATTCGCTTCAGGGTTTAAACGTTGGATGGATACCTTCCATAATGATTTTTCTCACAAAGATGAAAAATGGAAAATTCATCACCGAATTCATAAACTAGGCACTAAAGAATATGACCATTATACAAATTATATTTTACCAAAGCAAGCAACATATTTCACCTTCACTGAAACAACTCAATGAAGTATTCAAAGAAAAGCATTCTTTGTTTAATATTCAATTCAATTGTCTAACAAAAGATGGTGCTGACAGTTATGTGACATTTGCTGGTCATGTTAATCAGGAATGCAAAAAATTTAAATTAAATTCCCTTACAGAGGAACAATTTAAATGTTTCATTTTTATCACAGGATTAAAATCTTCTACACATGCAAATGTTCACTCCAGACTTCTTTCAAAACTGAAGCATGACAAAGACATTACATTAAAATCCTTCACCACTTAATGCAATAATTTATTAAGCATAAAAAGAGACACTTTACGGGTTCTAAAAAAACAATGATTTATCAATAACCAGCAACATCCACACGAGAAAAGAATCCTGTGATGAAAAGAAACCCCCTTCAAAATGTTGGCATTGTGGTGACTGGCATAATGCAAGCTTTTGTCCAAAAATTGTCTAGCACAACACAGTGAACCAACCTTCTTAGCTGCAGACTTAGCAATTGATTCAATAAATTCTTTCCACCTCATGTCAATGGAAAACGTTAGTCCAAGAAGGCGCAACTGTTGACTTTTGTTAGTACACTTTGTGCAACCATGTGCAACATGCATATGGGGACCACTTTCAGGAACATGATAGAAATAAGGTTATTTTTTTTTTTTTTTGATAGTTAAATTTCCTAAACTCTTGTATAGCATCTTATGAACATCCACACATTTTTAGGAAAATGTATGACAAAGTGGAAAAATTTTGTGCAACATGTTTCATCCTTTAGGACTTCATAGATTTCTCATCCAACTTTACTCACACAAGCACATCATCCAATCTAAAACCATCAGAGTGTAACACAATGGCTTCTTCTACACAACCGAATTAATACACGTGAAGTGGACACTAAATAATGTTATTGGAGTTGGAAGTGTTTGGTAGTTTTTTTGGCTGGAAAATAAAGTCTTTGTTTTCTGGTGTTCAAAGCAACAAACACTTGACCAAACAGAAAATAAAATAATAAATTAAACTAAATAAATGATAACTTGTGGGGTCAGGTGATACTTGGTCAGAAGTCAGAAGTTTCCATCTGCAACCCTATGTAAGTATATTCCCGAGTAGAATGCAGTAAAGATAGATAGGAGCTGTCAATCTAACCAGTCATGTTGACAGCTGTTCCTCATTTGAAGTAAGAAGAGGCGAAGGGACCTATGCACCACCTGCTTACTACCAGAGAGAATACTATGCCTGTCTTGGAATCCCAGTGACTAAAATACCAAAAAATTGGAAACTGGGTTCCTATTTTCATTCTTAGTGTGGTATTGCTGAAGAGGAAGAAAATAATAGACAAGTAAATGAAGACCTGAGGTTAAGTGACATTTGGCCACAAAGCCAGATGCTTCCACTTTGCAGTCTTACATAAATAGATATACACTACAGTTCAAATATTTGAAGCCATCCCCAGAATTAGCATGGGATGAACTTGACAAAAGAGTGAAAAATATGTAAAATAGCTCAAAAAGAAAAAAAGAATGGAATTAATTATCAAACTTATACTTTGAGAAATTTTTGCAACAAATGCCAAAAATTTGTGTTGTAGTAATCAAGTCTAAAGGAGGATATTTTGATGAGAGCAAAATTTAATCATAAAATGATTTTTTTCTTTTTATCATAAGATTTTTAATAAAAAATCATGTCTGACTTTTTTTTTTTTAACCATGTATAATAATTTTCTTTTAATTAAAAGTAGAAAACCACTATTTTGGGGGACAATTTAAAATATGACCAGGGGTCACCTCAAACTTTTGAGCTCTAGTGCATATAACAACCCCCTCCATTTATTAGCTTCTGATTTTTCCCCCTCTCCCTATTTCTTAAGATTCCCATTTTTATTTTGTACTCAAAACTACATATAAATTAAAATTTTATGCAAAAATACTAGAATGAAATTAGTCAAAACTTTCTTCCATTTTGAATTGATAACATTAATGTTCTTGATAATGAAAAGTGATTAGAAGGATCAGTATTCATAATCCTCATGTATTCTATGAAAAATTAAGCCCCATCTTGAATTTAATCATTTTATCCCAAGCAAGGCAATAACGCCAGTAAGATGTGAGAAGGTTACTGAGAGTGAGAGAATAGAAGAAAGAAAGAAAGAAACATTATGAAGGAGAGAGAGAGAGAGAACAATAAAAGAACAGGAATTAAGAAGACAGAAACCATTTGTTTAAAAATAATAAATAAATAAAAGAAAGAAAGACATTCTCCTGACCTGTCAACATCTTCCCAATGTTCTTGGAGTTTGTTCCAAAATGTTTCTTCAGAAATTTCTTCATTCCCACTCACTTCAGCAAATTCCTGCTGCCATTGGTCAACTAAAGACTTGGCACTCTGAAAGAATAGAAAAAAAGAAAAGACAATTTTGGTTAAAGTGATTCTGTAGTTTCTTGGTCCATTTTTATTAACAATGGTTAATGTCTGTACAGACTTCAATCTCCTTTTCACTCTTTCTCCAAAAGTTTATTTTTTTTGTCATAAAAAATGGGATTCAAATTTCTAAAACCACAACAAATTCAACAGCAAATGATTTTAATAGTGACTGGTGAGGTCAACATGCTTTTCACAAAAGGATAGACATATAAGATATTCAATACATTTACATGCTACCTTTTCCTGCTCAGGTTAGACAAGCTTCCGTAGATTTAGTGTGTTCTAGATCTATAATATTCGCAGGTTTTACATATTCCATCACCTCAGGGTTGCTGATTTCAGGCATTACACCACTTAAATGGATTGCTGATTTTAAACCTGGCAACACTTATAGGGATTGCTGAATCCAGATCTTGCACTGCCTATAGAAGGTTGCTAATGTGACCTTCCAACCATCTACAGAGGGTTACTGATTTCAGACCTGCTTATTTTTTTTTTTTTTCCCTGCATCAGCTATAAGATCTGCTGATTTCTTATTGCACCCCAGAAATCCACAAGGAGTAATAAAATTTAAAGTAAATTTTTAATGTATTTGTTTTCTATTTTGTTTCATTTTTTGTTTTTTTCCAACATCAAAACATGCATGCAAAATGTAATGCATTATATCAAAATATTACTCATCCATTCTTTTATTAGTGTACAAAAAATAAAATCTATACACACAATATAAAGAAAGTTATAACAATTTTAAAATGGGTGTTCATGTTTTTGCACCCTCAAAAAAAAAAAAAAATACATCCGCCTAAAGGTGAAATTCAGAATGATGGCAATGCTGGCAATGCAGGACACAGTTATTCTCCCTTCATCATTCACAGGTGAACCAAGAAACAAAAAAAATGTAGTGGCAGGGGAGAACAATTCTAGAAAGAAATTAGTATTGTAAAGGTTAATAGTATTGCCCAAACAAAACTTCTGTCTCAATGGGCTACTTTTACTAACAGATAAAAGTCAGATAATTTATTAAAATTCTAACCTGGCATCTCGGCTTCAGTCGCTTTCCCACCACCGTAGCGTTGCCTCCTTGTGCTTTTTCTAAATATACATTCATGGTAACCATTCAGATGAGCTCTATAGTACCTAGACTTTATGAATTTAAGCGCAGTACTAGATTGGCAGTAAGATTTCAACAATTCACACTTGAATTGGCTACCATTTTGAATTGTAACCAGGTTCTTTTCTCACAGTCCCTACTTATGGAACTCTCTTCTGGCTCCATGCTTTCCAGCCAACTTTGATCATCAAAAATTTAAATATGATGTCAATTGTTATCTACTTGATTACTCTTCTATTGTTCTCACTCTTAAATAAGGTTTTCCTTTTTTCTTATTCTTCCACACACTGTCACCCCTTGTGTCTTAGTGGCTTTACTGTTTTGCATGGGGTGAAATGATTAGAAAAAAATGTATATATAATACTATTAAGACTCCAAGTTCTCTTAATGAACATTAATGGATGTTTAATAAAGGGATTCTCACCTGTTCAGATACAAAGTCAAGGGCCCATTCATCAGCTGTATCCAGGATAGACTGACCGTCCTTTTCAACAGGCTCATTTTTGGCAACATCTGAGATTAATTTCATAAACTACAAAGGAAATGGAAAAAGAATCCATATATATATACCACAATTAACAACCATATGTATCTATCTCTCTCTCTCTATATATATATATATATATATATATATATCTCATTTCCAGCAACCAATAAAACTGTCAAAATGACCAAGGAGGGTATTCTTAAAGTCAGGAATCTCCCATTCTCTCTCTTAAAAACAACTTGAAAAAGACCGTTTGAACAACACAAGGACTGACCAAAATTAACGATAAAAAAAAAATGAAAACTACAGATAAAGTTCACTTTCTTCAGAGACAGTCATTCACTCCTGTAGTTCACTGCTACTAACAAACAGGGATTTTTTTTCTCCTGATGATGGCCATGCAGGCTGAAACCAGTCAAGGAACCAAATTGAAATAATAAAACAAAAAAATATTAATATACAGCCCCAGTGTGTCTGAAAATTTTAATTTTCTAATATTTTTTATTGTTCAAAACACACACACAATTACACATTATATTTATAGATATTGGAGACAAAAGAATTCCAGTTGGGGAACGTAGGTCTTCAGTAGACACTGGTAATGAAAGAACCTTCCTTCCACTCAACCAGTACATCCAAAAAAAGCAACACAAGATCACTCTCTACCTTCATAGTGAACTGAAGGGAAGGATGAAGAGAATTCAGTTGGACGTAGAAGGTCTCTACAGCCTCAATGGTTTGGTTCATCTTGTTTCATGGCTAATGGTTTATTTAATGCTGACAAGATTTTTTATTGCTGGTAATATTTTCTTTTTTCCAAAAATGTATTGCTGGGATTAAAACCTATTTTTACACTTTCATATTTTGGGAGTTAACCGTTTGCCCAGAGTTGGGACCCTAAAAGGTGCTACCACTCAGGTCAGGGTGGACCTGAGAGCACCAGAATTTAAGAGGTAGTTCCATGCCCCTCAAAACCTCCTGATCGGATGTAGTTTATCATGCCCAGGACAATACATCCTCAATGGAATCAGACGGAAAAAGTGCCACCCACATAACATAAGTATACATGAGGTTTACATACACACACACACATATATATATATATATATATATATATATATATATATATATATATATCACGTCAACATAGGGATAGTCTCTTTCAAGCCGTTCTGTATATGGTTATCATCAGCCTCTAAGTGCTTATCTTGGAGCATTGTTCTAAATTTACTTTCAATATCAGTCCTCCTCTGATAGATGCCTTGTTATTGAGAGTGGATTTGGGGTGTAAGGTATCTTATCCCAGTGAAGTGGTCTGGGTTTGGGGTTTATTTATGGCCAGACCTGTTTGTAGTTTAATATCAGTTCCTACTATGTGGTGTTTCTTCTAACGGCCCCAGAGTTTCTTTTTCTGGGATTCAAAGTAAATAGTTTTTGTACTACAGGTGTCCAATATTATTAATAAGTGACAAGGTATTTAAACTTAAACCCATTAGGATTAAGGTAAATTAGTTGATTTATAGATTGTAGGTAATACCAGAGCACCCAATGGAATAAATCGTGCTGTCCAATACACTTATATGCATTCATATATGCATATATGTACATTCACATGTCCATACATATATGCCATTATATGTACACATACACCCACACATATATGTACAGGTACTCTTATGTAATTTGGGATTTATTTCTATGTCTCTCAGTTGATTTAATAGTTTGCATTGATCTTTATATTTTATTATCCTGATTTTCTTTTTCTTCTAAACATAGCTTGAACCTATCCTTAAAACTATTGGGGGTGTTCACGAAACCTAAAATTTTCCAATTTATTTGAGGATGTAAATGTAATTGTTATGAGAATTAATAATTTACTCCTTCACTGATAATATGTACTAAATTATTAATTCTCATAACAATCACATTTTAAGTAAATTCCATGGAGAAAAAAAACTAAATCTAACATGGAAACCCCCTGTAATTGTAGAATTAAGAAAAATTGCCCAGTAGAGGGCAAGTGCAGATCCACTAGGCAACCATTACCCCTAAAGAAAATACAACAAACCATAATATTTACATTGGTATTTCTGCAGGAGAATTTAAAAAGAGAATATTCATTCACCAATCCAAAATTAAAACACAAAACAGCCCTTTCGAAAACATTTTGGGAATTGAAAGAAAAGGGTCTGAATCCTCAGACACTATTCCTTTAAACTAAAGCTAAAAAAAAAAAAAAAAAACCTTCAAGAATTATTTTTAATTTGTTAAATTAATTTTAAACTATAGGTATACCATTATTCAGTAAATTAGTGGAAATCCCTATAAAAGTATAATATACTCTTAAACAAAAAACTTAAAAAAGGCCACTTATTCATAAAAATGGATAACAAGTTTTGCTATGATAGTCTGGCCTTGAGTTTTGTTAATATAACAAAACTCAAGGCCAGACTATCAGTTACTGGACAACACTTCTCTCCTGTTTCTCTCGTAGACCTATGTTGGTTGTTCACATGTGAGAATTATACCAATTTGTTTGTTTATGTTCCATAAAGAAAGACAAAGAAAATTGTCTAACAAGAAGTATTGTCATGTAAAAACTGTTTCAAGATATTCTATTTATATATTGTTGTTATAGATTTATTTTTTAACTTTATAAATCCTTGCCAACGCCAGATAGCTTTGCTAGTGTGTGTATGTATATATATATATATATATATATATCAGGATCAAATAAGACAAAAGTAAAAATACCAGAATGGTTCAATTTATATTTCCAGTGAGAAAAACATTCTGGTGTATTTCAACTAGAAATCATATTGATTCGAATCTCAACTTTTTGGCCACTTTCAAAAATTCATTTAAATTTGGCTATGTTGACACATTTGTAAACAAAATTTAATCCTTGGTTTTAAAAATCTTCCAAAAATAAAATATGTATTTGTAACATCTTATTTGAGGAAAATTAGCAAATTTAAAATTAATTAATCTGATTTGAAACAAATATTACTTACTTAATAGCATAAAAAACATACTATACAGTATTTCTTAACCACAGGATCTTGTTTTTTTGATGTGATGATTAAGTTATTGACAGCCTCTGGTGTTGACAGAATAGACATAAATTTACAAAATCAAATGAAAGCTTTTTTTTGGTTTTTAACTACCTAGTAACTTTTAAAAATTAACATATTTTTGGCAATTATCTAATATTTTATTGAATTTTAGTTACTTTAGCTTTATAGCCTTACATTTGAAGATGCTTTCTGAAAAAATAATAAAATTTAAAATACTATAAAATTTTCTTAAATTAATTTTAAAATTTAATAACAGAAATATTAATGAAATACCATGACAGAGGTAACCAGTCTACCTCAGAAATGTCAAACTACTGTGATAAAATCTTTTGCCTAATCTTCAGAGTTGCAATTAGTTCTGCTTTCCGAGCAAAGAGCTGACATATAAATCTGTTATCACCTTCAATGTTCTCCCAACATTCCCACCTCTGACTCACCTCTTTCTTCTTGGTTTTAGGGTCAGCCAAAGAATCCACCAATTCCTGAGCAGCTCTTTGAACATCATCATGCAATTTTGCATTACCAGATTCCAGCTCATTTTCAAATTCATTTAGCCTAAAATGAATAAAAATTTTGTCAGAATGATAACATTAGAGAAGCTTAAAATTGTCTGCCCTACAACCAGTATTTAGCCACCAACAACTATACCAGACTTTCCACACTTTTAAACTGTTGCAAGTGTTAAACTGAGTTTAGCAGGAGGGAAATATTTCCCAAAAGAAATTCATCTTTCATAAAGTTTTTTAAAAATTTAAAATTGATTCTTATTCTGAAATCAGCAATGAATCATTTGATAAATCTATTTTAATTTCTGATTTTACTACATGACAAGCAGACTACCCATCAAAACTGAAAGGATTATTTACAAGTTTCTATGCGCTCTTCCAAGAATCAAAGTTTCATTCTCCAGCATTTCTACCAAGAAGCAGAATATGGTACCTGTGCATTCAAACTGAATACACACACATTTGCCTGACAAATGCTTTTAATGTGAAACTTTCAGTTATAATTTGAAATTACTTGTGGTTCTTATCAGGTTTTACAATTGCACTATGAATTTACTGATAATAAGCCCTCTTTATAGAAAGAGCACTTATCAAGAAATATTCACTGAATTTATTTAATTTATTATGTTCATTTGAAGAATGTTTCTCTAATAATAATTCACAAACATGCACATTGGTTACACAACCACTACATTATCACACTGATTAACATGCCAATTATCCAATAATAGTTGAATTAAATCACATATCACAAAGCAACACAAAAAATCTGACAAATCTTTACAATAACACAAAAGTGTTATATCTCATAAACTGTAAAAAATAACTACAAATACTAGAAGCATTAAGCATAAAAGACAAACAACCCCAAATCAATAAGATAAATTTTGGAATAAACTTTTTCATGAAATATATTTCATAAAGAAAAAAAGATGACATAAAAACACAAACTGGTATGTGAAGAGGCAATATTTTTTAAATCATTACATGTGAAGACAGTATTTGAAAAATAGTTAAACCAACATAACACAAAAAAAACCAACACTTTAATAATAGCTTGAAAGCCAAAAGTACTCTGTCAACAATGTATAAACTTTCACTGGAAAGCAAGATAATGGTCTGAAAAAAAATAAAAATAAACAAATACATACATACATATATATATATATATATATAAAATCACGGTGGCGTAATGGATAGCGGCTTGGATTGAGGAATCACAGAGCCAAGTTCGAATTCCAGTTGAATCCATTACATTCACTTACGTGCTAATACCCTTCGGAAAGGTGTGAATCCTCTTCTTCTCCCTCCAGCTATGGGTAAATAGCAGGACAGACTGGGTTCTATAGCCTTGGATGGCAACTGGTCTAGGAGAAGGACAACTCTGAATTCAAAACCTGCGGAGAGTCGTTTGGGAACCTTGTGGCACTTAGTGCACCAAGTCTCTGAATTCGGCCCTTCAAAAAGTGTGGCTGGTCCTGCACGAAACCTTCACCACTATAATCAAATCTCGTGCTGTTGTCGGGCTGTCGGTTTCCTAAGATAATCATTTCAATATATTAATTTTATATTTTTCTTAGTATTTTTTCTGATATATTGTTTATTTTAACATATCTTTGATTCTAAATTATCTCTTGCATATAAATGGATTCATCTCTTTAATATTATTTTTGCTTATAGATTTATGAAAGTTTTCTTTAAGTCTAAATTACCTTCTGATTGCTACTGTGTTTAAAATAAATAGGTCATTTCTCTCTTTTTTCTCCCTCTTTTTCTTTCTCCTCTGACCACCCCTCATATCCAGACTTACACTTCTTCCTAGTTTTTATTTGCTCCCTTTTACTCTTTTTTTCTTTTCCTTTTTTCCGACCATTTTTATTTCAATGATTTATCATCCATTGACTAGCCTGAAAAATCCCTGTAAATTTTATTTCAATTTACAAGATGAAAATGATCATTAACTTAATGTAATCTTAATTCCTATTGTATTTTGTATATATATATATGTCCAAGACATTTGAATCACTACCACACAAAAAATTCATTTTTATAATAGATGGAAATATCTAGTCTTTGTTTGAAGAAGATCGCAAAACCAAAAACCCATGTAGCAGAATTATGGGAAATAGAGTTTAATATATATTTTAAAATAAAAAAAACTTCACATTTCAACCAAAAACATTTGTTTAATCTTCTTTATGTTGCATTTAATCCATTTCCTTATATATATATATATATATATATATATATGACATGTTTCATTGAATAGTTTAGACAAGTTTCGTCTACTTGAATAAATGAATATGTATTAACATGGTAATTTTCTCTCTTCCTTTAACAAGAATACTAAGAATATTGTCTGTGAATATGAGAGGATCCTATTGAAAATAAGTAGACAAAACTTGTCTAAATTATTCAATGAGTCGTATCTTAATGAAAAGATGCTGCTAAAATATATTTATATATATTTAGGCAGCATATTTTGTGTCTACTTATTTTTATACTGATCCTTTTTAGTTGCCTAATCAGTTTCTTGATGTTAAGATGAAATTCATCAAGGAATGTGCTGTAGTGTTTCTTTAAACTGAGTACTTTCAACGATCATCTTCAGGGGTAAATTACAAAGATAAACATACTCTAACTAAAGGCTATAGAACCCAGTCTGTCCTGCATTACATTTCGATGGTGATTTTTAAAAATACATGTAAATGTGCTCTGTTATAGTTGTTTTAGAATTATAATTTATGCATTGTAGTTATAGAATTTTTTGCAAAACAAATATTTCAATATAAGGCGACTGGGAACTGGTAGAAATGTAAAATGGCATTAAATGTTATTTGCACTTTAATATATTGTTGCTATATTTGTAACAAATTTTGTTGACTGTTGGTTGATTTTGATATAGAGGGCATCAAGAATTTGAAGTTATACTACACCATGAAAATAATAAGCGATTATTATTTTTGTGGTGTAGTATGTTAGTGTTTTTAAAAATCACCATCAAAATGGAATGCAGATTTTATTGCAGTTACAATAAGTTTGTCTTTAATTTACCCCATGAAGATGATCTTAGAAAAGATCAAAAGTACTTGGGTTAAAAGAACTGTAGTGCGTTTATCTGGTTGTCTTTAAGATTATGCATGCATATGACACAGACACAACTCTCAATAAATTTTTAATTCGGTGAAGGGTTCTTATTATTTATAGCTTATTATATATTAGATATCTGTAATAAATAAAAGACGCTAATAATACTACACTATCAAAATATATATGGGAACAAAAAACAAAAGAAAAACACCTGTAAATTTTTTTACTTAAAAACTTGAATGAACCATTAACAAACAACATTTATGTGTTATATTTGTGGCTAATCATAATGAAATACAAACAATTTAAAAAATTATAAACAAACATGGAAAATTTACCACTGATTTAAGACAGGTAATTGTAAATTATATTTTTTTGATAACTTTAAAAACACTTTAGATTGTGAATAGTTGGAATAATTTAATATTGTTTGCATAGAAAATGAATGGATGGAGCACAATTCTTAAAGAATTGGTAAAAGTTACTCTGAAAATGGATTCTACAGGAAAACCTAATTATTTTTTTTTTTAATTTTTAAAACAATATTTTAGCTTTCTTAATCCATTTCATAAACATCTTAATGTTTTTATTATGCTAATAATAATTATAATAACAAAATTAAAAAAAAGAAACATTCTGATTTTGAAACAGTTTTAAATTTTGGGGGGACCATTAAAGTTGTATTATGGGATGTTTTCAGGATAATGGTAAAAAATGTTTGTAGTCCTGCTTGGGACTCTGATGACTTACTGATACACCATCCCTGGACATTTTGGGCAAATTTTACTATTTCAGAACTCAGAAAATTAACATTGAAGAGCAGTAAACAGCTAGTACAAAGTTGCTCATATGAACAGCCTTATCCTACTTACAGGTTTAGCTATGTAGCTCTAAAAGGTGAATACTGGCCAAGATTCTACCCTTGGACAATTTAGAACTACTTCTGTAACAAAACGATCCAGCAGTGAAGAACAGCAAAATGGCCAGTACAAAGTTGCTCATATGAACAGCCTTACTCTACTTAAATGTTAGGCCGTGTAACCCTGACACCTGACCATTTTTAATGTAACCCTGAGATATGACCAATTCCTGATGTATCATCACTTGGTATTTTAGGTAAATTTAATTATTTCTGAACTGCCTGGGTAACAAAATGAATCAGCAGTGAAGAGCAGCAAATGGTCAGTACAAAGTTGCTCATATGAACAGCCTTACTCTACTTAAATGTTAGGCTGTATAATATCTAAAATCTTTTGATACCCTATTTCTCAACCCTGTGTGGTATGCCAATCCATATGTAAACTTATTTTATCCAACAATATTATTGTGCTTCCTGTATATGCTGTAATTTCTGAGAAAATAAATAGGTGACATTACTTTAGGAATGTCCCTTCCATTTATCAGGCATTTACCAGATGAAGCCAGTTGAAACCGGATCACCTTGAAACTTTGCCAATGTCTTATTCCTGAATATTTTGGATAAAATTTACTATTTCAGAATTTCCTATATAACAGAACTAATCAGAAGTGAAGAGCAAATGGCCAGTACAAAGTATGAACAGTTTTATTCTATGTTAGGCTGCATAATTCTTTTTCCATGATAAGAGTGTTTTACGAATAAGCCAGGACATATGGATTAAGTAGGTTAAATTAACAAATGAAAACAGAATTTCCAGATAGAATATGAATTTGCATATTTGTATTATAAAGTAGCTAAAATCCTTACCACATTTTTTTATCAGCAGGTTCCAAATATTCACCGGCCCATTTCATGGGGACAATGTCAGCCCTGTGTGTTGCCTGGTCTCCAAACTGGCACTCTTCCTTGACCTCAGAATTCAGAAATTCTTTCTCCCATTCAGAAGATACGGCTAAATCTGCAATGGCCGGAGCTGTAAACAATAAAACAGGTATATAGTCACAATCATGAGTCCCAGAGGGTTGCAGAGGCTTCACATGTACTGTAGTCATAGCAGCAATGAGTTTATCTAATGCAGTGTTTCTCAGCAAGACCATACCTAGGATGAAAATATCATGGCACATTTAGCAAAATTTTTAAAAGGGTATACATTTAAATGTTATGAAATAAAACCATAGATTTAAAAAAAAAAAAAAAAAATATATGAACATATTTTTTATTTCAATGTTTCTATTCAAATATTTTTACAGCTTAATGTGAAACCTGTGCCTGATGTTTTTTTGCGATTTTTTCAATGTTTGATCAAATGGTCGATAAACAGACCCTCATTTCTTCTTCAGTTGAGTGTAGGCTTTCTCGCTTATTTTTGATGTAATTGAGGGTTGGGAAGCCTAATTCACATAAATAAGAAGTAGAAAATTGCAATAAAACTGATAAAGCTTTTTTAGCTAAAGTGAGACATTCCTTTTGTTCTGAAATCCAAAATGTATCACTGGGTACCATCGAATGCACTCCATTTCAAATTATAGGTGCACAAAAATGCAATAAAATATTACTATGGAAACATTAGTTTAAGTACAAATAATGTTATTTTATACAAATTTTAGAGTAATATACTTTTAAAAAATTGAAAAATTATTAAATCAAATGCTCAATTCTGCATATCAGAAACTTCAACAATATTAATTCCTAATATAACTTTGTAAAAATGTTAAGTTAAACAAAGAACATTGAATACAATTATATGAAAAATTGATAAATATGATAAATATTCATTTATCCAAATAAAGAAAAAATTTTTAAAGTTAAATTAAAAAAAAAAAATACTTTTTAAAAATGAATATTAAAACAAAGTATTTAAAATAACATAATCAAAGAATAGCAAAAAGAATTATTTGAAAAAAAAGTTTAATACTTATTCATTTATTCAAATACAAATGCCATACCACTACTTCCATGCACATATATATATATATATATATATATATATATATATATATGCCGTGACAATACTGCATGGCACACTAGTGTGCCACAGTGCAATTGAGAATCATTGATCTAAAGCAAGATAATCTGAAAAAGATTATCCCTATTAAGGCTGTTGTAATTTCACCTAGACTGGTTACCCTATCAAAGCTAAAGAAACCAGTCTGTCCTGCAATTTAAACTCATAACTGGAGGCAAAATGATTCATGTTTTTGGGAATTAGTGAAAAATGAATGAAATAGACTTGGTCAGAATTTGAACTTGGCATGCCTATTTCACTTTGCAGACTGATAACCATTAAGCCAAATACAAATAGTTACAATCACAAGTCCCACAACCCATCACAGTCATAAGAGCACCACATGTAGTGTAGCCAAGCCAGCAGTAGAAGCGGTCCTCTTCAGGCTATGTTTTTTTTTTAAATTTCGTTTTCTTTCTCCCAGTTTGGTTGTTTTAGTTTAGTGGTATATCAATCTCTATGGACGTGCATTGAGATGTAATGGATAGCAACTCAGAATAAGAAATCAGATAGCCGAGTTCATTACATTCACATACACACAAATAACCTTGGAAAATGTATAATTCCATCTCTCCTCCCTCCAGCTATGGGTTAAATAGGACACACTGAGTTCTATAGACTTGTGTGGCAACCAGTCTACTGTAGAAAGAATTGTCAAACTACTGTGGGAAAAAATCTTCAAACGCTCTTTTCCAACATGCCTTGAGCCAGTCAGCATGGAAGAGTAGGCTCATCAAATTAACATGAGAATAATATCTCATGTTTTTTTTTATTAACACTTTCACTGCTACTCATTTGCCCAGTACTGCCCCCATCCGGCCATCCATTTTTAAAGAAAATGCCAAATTTCAACCTACATATTTTATTACAAAGAAAACTGGCACCAGTGTGTTTTACAGCCTTCCATTTTCATGGATATACCTGGGAATGACTTACCAGATTAGTAATGGGTATACACATGATATCTTTTGAAGCATTGTCCTTTGTGATTTGACGATAGATGGCGCAACAGGACACTCATACCAGTGGTATGCAAAAAAACGTAGGTTTCCGTACTTAGCCAGCTGGAGCAAGATAAGAACAACGAAGATCTCCGTAGTTAGCAGCGGAAGTGTTAAATATATTTGGATAGAACCTATCTCTAATTTTCATGTGTACACTATATTTCTTTTTTTTTCTTTTTTTTTTTTTTTACACGGTTTTATTTTGCACGGTAATCTCTGGAACGTATCTACATTACAAAAAGAGAACTAAGTGTATTTGTCTATTTTATTTCCATGTTATTATTTGAATATTTGTTTAAATGTAGCCATATTTCATACATTTGTATCTATCCTTTCAAAACATGTCCACTGTTTACATACACTGTTGCAAAATGCAACCTTTATAACCTTCTTGTAACCATCTTTTTTGCGACATTGGAACGTATTCCTGTAGCAAATTTTATATTGTAAACAAAATATTCGCTACCTTCCTTTACCCATTTAGACAAATGGCATTAGTTTTATGTTCAAACCTCCAGCCTACTTCATCATATTTCTCATTACCTTTGTTTATCTGTATTTTCAGACTAACTAGTCTTATTTCTATGTTTTATTTTCTCTTCTGGTTTTTATCCATTTGCTTATTAATTAACCTGCCAATGAACGGGACATTGTCTTCAGAGTCTTAACTGCCTTATAAGTGTTTATTTGGCTGTCTTCAGGATTACACAGGTGTATGACACAAACGTGTACTCTCGGCAGCAGAACAGGTACATTCAACATATTCTACCACTTCAGCTGACAGGGCAGCTCTCTTAGACTGGTTGCCCTAGCATGGCTAAAGAGACTATTCTATTCAGCTACTTAATTCATAGCTGGAGGAAAAATGATTCCTGTGTTTTCTAAGGATATACGTTAAAAGTTGCACCCCTCCCCAACCTCGTAGATTCTTCAAGGGCTTTCAGGGAACCCCAGAAGGAAATGTGATGTTGTAATTCTAGTCTTATAACATCTTTGTTTGTCTCATTGCATTTTCATTTAGCAGCAGTTCCTTGTTAATACATTTTTTTTAGGTTTGTAGTAACGAGGAAACACTGTGGAGTAATGGATTGCAGCTCAGATTAAAGAATCGGAGAGTCAAGTTTATTACATTCACTTATATGCTGATACCCTTAGGAAAGTTGTGAATCCATCTCTCCTCTCCCCAACCATGGGTAAAATAGCAAGACTGACTGGGTTCTATAGCCTTGGGTAACAACCAGTCTAAGAGTAGGAAAATTCTGAATTCAAAAATCTCCAACTATGGATAAATAAGAGAGCAGTCCGAGCTTTGTAGCCATGGTTGACAACCAGACTAGGAGGAGGACGAGGACAACTTTGAATTCAAATCCAGAGCCAGAATCCCTAAAACAGTTTAATGTTATGTTTAATTCAGGCAATTGTATTGGCTTTTGCTTCTCCCTTGGACAACATCGGTGACGTTGAGTGGGGAGATGTTCTGCATGGGCAACTGTTAATCTCTCATAAAAAATATCATCCTGCATCCAAGCCTGCACTCTTCAGGCGCAGATCCATGTTTTCTCGAGACCAACAGATGCCATTAGTGAAGGGGAGATAGTAAAAGTAAGTCTTTTCAGAACACCTTATCATCACTGCTTACCTGTTTGTGGTTCGTGAAAAAGTTCTGCTTCTTCAATCTGCCTCATCTCTTGCAAAAGACTCCCCATGTGAAACGTCTCAGGAGCAGCCTGAATACTCTGACCTTGCAAAAACTCATCAGCCCACTGCAGACAGCAAAAAAAAAAAAAAATATATATATATTAGTCTCTTACCACTTTTTGGCAAAGTATTCAAAGCTTTAACCAATTGTTAAGCATCTTACCTCTCAAAACTTAGACAAACAATATGGCTTCAGTTTTACCAGGTCTACTGCTGATGTGCTAATAGCCATCACTGAATATGTATATCAAGATCTTGATAAAAACAGCAAAGCTTGAGCTGTGGCTCTAGATATCTCAAAGGCATTTGACAGGGTTTAGCACGCTGGTCTTCTACGTAAGATCCAAGGCTATGGTATTATAGGATGATTGTTTGATTTAATCCCATCTTTTCTATCAAATTGTGAAATGAAGTTCATTCTGAACAAGCTTGCTTCCAGATCCTTTAACATGAATGCAGGTTTCTTCCAAGGCTCTATCCTGGGTCCTATGCTGTTTCTGATCATCATCAATGATCTTCCTGATGTCATCAGTTCCCAAGTAAGCACATTCACGTGTATATGTAATCATATCAATCGAAATATCATTTTCACCCGATAAAGTCCTAAATGATGGAAGATCTCACACAAAAATATTTTGCACTTTGTTATAGATTTTGCTAAAATTGTTCTTGATATATAAAAATGTATATTATTTTCCCACATATATACAGGGTGTTCCAAAGGTCTTGTCACTCCTACGTAATATAATTTTCTATGTCAACGATCTGTAGAGTATTATCAAGGAGAGAGTTTTACATGAACAATACCAGAATATCCATCAGTTGAAGGATACCGTTCAGAAAGACTTTGCAACAATCAACAAAACACAACTTCATAAAATATCACACATGACATGGCGCCGCATCATTTTGTGCTATGAAAATCATGGTGTTCATGCAGACCTTCTCAATGTGTGACAGTATCAATGAAAGTGAATAACCTGAATCCAGTACATGTGCTTTGTATTACTTGTTCTTCTATTGTTTTCATTACGTTTGTAGGGTGACAAAACTTTCGGACCACCCTGTGTTCCTGTGTGTGTGTGTGTATATATATATATATATATAAAAAACTAGCAGCATGGCCTGGCGCTGCCCGTGTTTGATTAAAAAAATCATTTACTCATACAGCAATTGCTATCACTTGACTTAAAATATTTTGCCCTTCCTTGCCTTTAAAGAAGTGCCCTTTTCCATGCTGATGTTGCTACATGCCTTACTTCTAGCTTATCTCACACTGCGAATTTTTTCTAAGCTCTATACTAAACATTAAATCTATTACGAAAAAAGAACTAAACAAAATGAACACAAAACGATCAGCTTTAAAAAAGGACTCAGAATTGGAAAAAAAAAAATGAAAAAAAAAAGAATGTTAATAACAAATACTTTTTCACACCCAACCCAGTTCTGTGTAATCAGAATCAACGTTGAGTTTAAGCAAGCGAATGAGCCAATTGGAGTAAAGTGTCATGCAGACTTAAATTTTTCCCACTTGTGACGAATGCAGTTATTGATTTTTTTTGCATGCGAGCATGCTAGTTAACATTCGTGTCAGTCAGCTGTTGGCTCACATACTGGCCAATAGAATCTTCCTGCCTATTCGTGGCAGCCAGCTATAGGCTCTCACTCTGGCCAGTACAAAATGGCCGCAAACTAGATGAAAACTGCCGTAGAAGCATGAAAAAAATCGATAATTTCCACTATCGATGGGAGTTGGGAAATGCAAAGTCGGTCTTGGCTTTCCCGCTAATTTGGAGCATGTGCATGTAAATTTTGGTGCAAATCCATCGAAAATTGCATCCGTGCATTCGTTACACACACACACACACACACACACACACACATCCTGCCTTTTATAGATAGAGATAAATAAAATTATTTTGGTTTGTAATCAGAGCTGAATCATTTATAACCGTATTTATTTCATTCTGTAGTTATCAGGGGACACATGTCAAGCAGAAGGTTTTTTTTATAATATCTTCTATATCCTGTGTCCCTTCAGGTTATGGGCAATCATAGCTCTCCACAATATCCTCTTCTTTCTAACTCTTAGTAATATTTGTCTTCTTATAATACTTACCACTTCCCATTCTGATATCGTTTCTCAAAAGCTCATCAAGGTAGGTGGCCTGTTGCCTCCAACTAACACTTTTTGCTTCAATCTATCCTGTGAGTGTCAAATTTACAAAGCCCTTCTTTCTCATTATGTGACCCACAAATTTCAGATGTCTCTTTGCGATCATAGATATAAGCATCCCTTTATTGCTTACACACCCAGTTCATGGTAGTCTCAGCATGTAGGACCACATTTCTGTTACCTTCCGTCTTCTTTTCATGTAATAGAACTATTCTGCCAATAATTGCAGAAACATACATGCAAGAGTGATACTGATATCTTAGATGTCAGCAACCACAGAATTTCTATAGATCCATCAAGAAGACATAAGCTTTCTAAAAATAAAGAAAAACTTACCTCAACATCTCTTGGCAAAACCATCGGCTTATCCACCTATAATTAAAGAAAGCTTTAGTTTATCATAGAAAGCAAAAGCGATCTGTTCAGAAATATAAAAATAACATAAAAATAATTACCAGGAGAAGAAAGGATAATAGATGGAGCAAAAGGTTGGCTGAACAGTGCACAATGCAAAACCAATGTATAGGAAGAGACTAGACAGAAGATGAAGAGACAAGATTAGAGTGATAAAAATGTAGTGATAAAACCAACAAGGATGAGGATATTAGTCCTAACAACGCATGGAATAATGATAATGACAGAATTTCAGACAATGAGGGAGGCCAAAGAATACATCAGCCAAAATATAGTGATAAAATCAAGGATGAGAAAATTAGTCCAAACAATACATGGAAAAGTCGAGTGTTTCAAACAGTTCTGTTCTTATACGAGATTATCTTTGTCAGTGACTTTTACTATATTTGATAAACTTGAAAGGAGAGGTGCAAAAGTTCAGTATAGCACACCATATCTGCAGAGAAAACAGTACATATTACCCTCTCTAGAATGAGGTCCAGATAATTGACAGTGTATATCATTGGTTAAAACCAACAAGGATGAGGATCTTAGTCCAAACTATTTATAAAATAAAGAGGAAGTTGAGGAAACTGAAGCACAAGTGGCGTATAATGGCTTGTTTGCCAACTGTTCAAATTATGCATCCATAGATTTCAATCAAGATATGGTTTTCTTTGCTTAGCAAAGTGGATATTGGGAAATTCTACTTCCACATTATAAATTTGGAATTGCAAGGATACCTGGGTGGCAATATAATGTACCTAGGGTTGTTGTAATAGATCCAGCCAGTTGGTATATAAGAGGCCATGTTTCTCTGTAGTCATTTTCCTTGAAAGATAGTTTTCCTTCTTTTTTATAAAATTGATGAGCCAAAGAAAGATCAGCTGAAATGCCATGTTTAATTGCATAAATTTTATTTGAAATATATGAACATTATTTTTTTTTTTTTTTTTACTTATTCTGACATTATTTTATTTCTTGTTACTTACCTTATGTGCAGGAAAAGAAATGACATCATGAAAGCCATCCTAAAAGAAAAAAAAATTATTTTTGAAAATCATCAAAGAGGAATTCCAAATTGTAACAGTTTATAAAATTTGCAAGAATTAAAATACTTAAAATGTCTGAAGAATATTTTTGACTTGTTTTTTTAATCAATTCACCCCCATCAAGGTGATAATGCCACTAATATGCAAGGAGCTACTTGAAGCGAAAGAGAATGAAAAGACTTTAGAAGGAGCCAGAAACCCAATCCTAAACAGGAAACAAGGGATAAACCTCTACTCCTCTTCAAAAAGGGTTGCGATATCCTAATTGAGCCACTAACTCCACCCAGTATCTAAATATCACACATACTAGAGATGGACGGTTTAATCAAAGAAACAACTTTTTTTGGTTTCCTCTTCACAGTGTGAAACCACATTGAAATTTTTTATGAAACCGAAATCGTTCAGTTTTTAAAGTGCTGATTGACAATATCCAAAGAAACACTATTGAAGACTTTTAGATGTTAATGAAATTTTATCAGCATTTATACCATTGTCTGAGAAAAATGTTGAACAAAAATATGTTAAAAACAATTAATTGACTAGTTTTAGGAAATAAATGTGTAATCTATTTATTTACAAAAGAAATGAAGAAGAAAAAAAGGAAATACGACAGATATGACACTGAAAATCATAGAATCTTTTCAAACAGAAAAAAAGGAAAATACGTTATGATATCTGGATATCTTTTTGTTTAGGTTTTCAAAAAAAAAAAAAAAAATTTGTGGTAAAATAAAGTTAACAACAAAATAATAAGTAAAAATAAAAAATAGTTGACAGTTTCATCTTTATTTTAAATTTTATAAAGTTGGATTTTTTTCTAAGGTTAATGCCAGTACACCAATCACAAAATGAAGTTGGAAACAAGAAAAATGAATGAAGATTTTTTTTTATAAATAAATTTGTTTTTTATCCAGGAGATGCAACTAAATTAGATATTAAGAATAATTAAAATAGTTCATAATTTCACTTTTAAAATGTCTATATTTCTAAATATGTGAATCTTTAGTGTAAGTAAAATAGTTTGCTTTCTACAAATAAAATTGTTTCTATCTAGCAAATACACCTAAAATTAGATATTAAAAAAATAATTTAAGTTTTAATCTCAGTTTTAAAATGTGCATATTTTCAAAACTGCAAGTCATTTTTTTTAAACCCAAAGTAAAAATATTTTTTTGTTGGGTGGGTTTTGTGCCTATAAAAATTCTTCTAAACAAAGAAAATTAATTCATTTTATTTTTACAAATATCTTTATGGTTTTATCTAGCAAATACACTTAAGATTATACAGTGAGACCCGGATATAAGAGACCCGGATATAAGAGAGATTTTTCTGGTCCCAAATTAGAGCCTGTGTTAATGTATATAAAATAGACCAAACCCGGATATAAGAGAAACCCGGATATAAGAGACTTCTTATCCGGTCTCGACAACTCTCTTATATCCGGGTTACACTGCATGTTAAAATGATTAAAATAGTTTTTAATTTCAGTTTTAAAATGTGTATTTAAAAAAGAACAGGTGATACTCGCAGATTTGGAAATATCCACATTCTAAAAATGAAATTAAAAGCTTTTAATTATTTTTAATATTTAATTTTAGGTACATTATTTACATTATTCGGACTATTGTCCTCATCTTTGTTGCCATATTTATTACAACGTTTCATCCGTTATACGTCCCTGCCTCTTCAGGTGGTTGGAATGTAGAACTGAACCCTTTATTTCGCTCACTGTTCTAATTCCACGTGCCATGTTTAATGGATGTCAGTTATCAGTTATCTCCTGTTAATTTTCACTCTGAAAGTTCTCCACTGCCTTAACTGGGTATTAAACTCACACTCTTTGGGTCCTGTCACTGGATCTAACCAACCCCTTTATCCATTGTGCCATGTGTCCTTGAGGACAGTTAAGACAGTGTAGAACTTTCAGAGGGAAAATTAACAGGAGATAACTGATAACTGACATCCATTAAACATGGCATGTGGAATTAGAACAGTCTACCCCAGTGAGCGAAATAACATTCGACATTCCAGGCCGGAGTGTACAACGGCGAAATGCTGTAATAAATATGGCAACAAAGATGAGGACAATAATGTGCATAATACCTCATCTCAGAAATATAGACAGATATTAATTTTAAGTGTATATTTGCTAGATAAAATCAAAATTTATTTAGGGGGAAAAAAATAACTCATTGATTTTCCCTGTTTAGAAAAAAATTATTTGCAAAACCCGAACAACAGTTGACTGGCATACCAGAAAAAAATTGCCGTATTTTTAATTATTTTAAACATGAGAGGTTTCACTTTTTGGCTTTTTAAAAACAAATTAATTATCAGCATTTCTGAATATGAACAGGAGAATTCTTTGCCTCTAAATAAAATAATTATTCACTTGAAAACAAGTGTCTGTCAGTGTCAGTAGTTTCAATAATTTGATAGTTCTTTTACCACACATTAATATCAGCTGGTCTTTTTTTTTCTACTAATGAAAACTTGAGATTGAATCTCTTGTAAGTAACATTACATTTTATTCAACTTTGGACTTTGGGTCATACAGCTACTTTCTGAACATGAACTTTACGTTCTCACATGGATGTATGAGAGACTGCCCTTTTTATTTATTAGGTTGGTGACTATATATTTACCTGCCATACAGTTTTCCCAAGCACATATCAAGCACAGCTGAGCTAATCACACTATTTGGGTTGCCACTGATATTGGGTGAGCTGCAGATCTCCACTCGTGGAGGTCATCTCTCAGGTCAACTTTAACCCTGGCTTCTCTAAAAGACATGGAATGCTAAGTCTATTCTAGCATGATCTAAGGTTAGTATCTTATTCTTTTTCAAAAAGAAATTTTTTTTTTATCTTTTGTTGCTTTTTATTGCAATGCTGAAATGTTTTCACATTCTATGACTTAAGCAAAAACCAGAAATAAATGGTTAAATGTTCAGAAGACTTTGCAGTCACATCATTTATTCTTAAGAGCTTCTAAATCTAAGTCCCACAACTCATTAGGGTTGTTAGTGCATCACATTTACTGCAACCATAGCAGCAATGGCGTGTCTAGGGCAAGATACCCTAATGGAGACCATTACTCTTTGGGCTCATTTTCAATTCAGAGTTGTCCTTCTCCTAAACATGTTGCTAACCAAGGCTAGAGAACGCAGCATACCCTACTGATTAACTCATAGCTGGGAAGAGAAAAATGTATTCAGAATTTCCCAAATGGTATTTGTGCAAAGGTAGGTGCAATGACATTGGACAGAATTAAGTATTCTCTTTCAAAACTACTAACCACTATTCTACACTCAGATACTGAATTAAAGATGGCATGTCATAGATATTTCTTTTTATCACAATCAACTAAGGGTACCATGTCTCATATTCCCATGCATCCTAAATGCCATCAAATAAGGGTACCATGTCCCACATTCCCATGCATCCCAAATACAACCAATTAAGAGTACCATGTCTCATGTTTCCATGCATCCCAACATGACCAACTAAGGGTACCTAAACACCTGCAAATAAAGGTACCATGTCTCATATTCCCATGCCTTCCAAACACAATCAAGGTAATTAGTTGTTTATTTTTTATTGCTATTTCTACTCTTCATCTTACAACCATAATTTTGATAAAGTGGAAAGGGATCTATTGCTCGCTAAAATTTTATACTGGCTTACCTGTTTAAAACCTTTGTCCTGAGTGAAGTGGCTAGAAAACTTGAGCAATGAGTTTGTCACACCACACTCCCCCTCCACTAAATTCTTCATTGCCATTTTTGAAAGCTGAAAAAGAAATAAAAGATATATAAAAACACAAGTTTCATTTTTTTTTTTAACAAACACATTAAATTTAATTCAATATTTTTTTTGAAAAGTAAATTAATAGAAAAAGTTAGTGGAAAATTTAATAAAGGTTAAGGCAGCTCCAAAAGTAATGCCTCCTATGTATTTATGCAAACAATTTAATAGATAAAGCAACTAGAATAACATCATTGGATAGGGCAAATTCTCATCTACAGGATATTATTTTTCAATATCACCCCCACAAGAAACCGCATGTGGTAAAATTCTGCCCCAGATTCTAATGGACATAAAGTGAGGGATCGGTTTCATCATGTCATCAAGTAATAAATTGATCACCTTGAGAATTTGTACATATGACAATTGAAAAATAAAAGACTCACTTTTCAAAACTGAATAATAAGAAAAAATGTTATTTTTTGACAGAATAGTTTAAATATGTTATACTGGACATGAAGTGAGAGGTTGGTTTTCTATTGTAATCAAGTAATAAACCGATCCCCCTGAAAATTTATACATATAACAACTGCAAAATACTTTTCAAAACCAAAAATATATCATTATTTTTTTGACAGAATAGTTTAAATAGAAGTTATACTGGGCATAAAGTGAGGGGTGGGTTTTCTAATTAAGTAATGAACATAAGAATTTATACATATAAAAATTAGAAAATTAAAAAAGAAAAACTCTTTTCAAAACCTAATATGAAACAAAATATACTAACATTTTTTGACAACATGGGTAAACTGTATTAATATAAGGTTATCCAGGGCATAAAGTGAGGGGTCTATTTTCTATTGTTGTTAAGTAATAAAATAATCACCCAAAAATATTGGGTAAAAATATCTTTGAAAACGTGATTGTGAACACCTTAATAATTAAGGACTTAAAAATACGCAGTCATTCATTTAAGTCACGGCAACGACCTGAAGGCTAATAAAAAAAAAAATTATTTAAACAAAAAAACATTGCTTACTTAGCAAAACAAAAAGAAGTAAAATTCAATTGTGTTTTTAGTTGGACACACACCAACCAATTTAAGCAGTGTGACTTCATGACTTGTATCTGATGTCACTAATGTGTATTGAGTTAATTCCCACGCTAAGTCAATTATCCCCCTGCCTTTGGCAAAATTGGCTCCTTACCCACATTTGATATCAGCTCAGTCAAGGCATGACTGAACAACCCACCACATCCTAGTAATTAACAGGGAGACAGTCCAAATTTGGGATAGCCACAAAAAAGATAAATTCGCTAAGGATAGTCTGGCAAAAGGCCACATACCAAGGATTGAACTTAGTATACTGTTTTGCCTATATCTATGTTTCAGTGCTTCTCACAGAATATGTTGCATACATTCAACCCCAGAAACAGACAATTCATAAGTTTTAGTTAATAATGACCTCAAAACTCTTGAATGGTTGATTCCTTTTTTATGTCTTATCAACCCTTTGCAGGTTATTTAAAGTCAAAAAATATTTTTAAATATTTGAAGTTTTTTTAATATAATGATGGTTTAGTGATACAAGTCTTACTAATTAAACCATAGCTGGGGAGAGAAGAGGTGGATTCATACCTAATCAGATTTTGACAAACAAATAGTTTACTGGTTGATTTTGTTTAGCAGCATATCAACTCCAATGGGATAATTAATACCGAAATTTAAATATTTTGAACACAATTTTATGGCTACAATATATTTTGAATTCAACTACAGATACTATTGGTCATTTTACTTTAAATTTGTATTGTTGGTAATTTTACTAAAAATAGATATTGTTGCTTGGGTGATTTTATTTAGTGGCACAAAGAATTTATAAAGTGTTTAAGTGAAAAGGTAAACGTTCTCAACTTAAAGGAAGAAAAAAAAAACATATGCTGAGTTTGCATCTACAGTAAAAATCTTCATTTTTATTGCAGTGTATTTGTCACGGAATGAATAGGCCACCCAAGATGGCAAATCGTAACATACTGCTATGACAACCCAAAATGAATGATGGTGGTTTGTGTTCCACAATCAGACATAGAAATGAAACACGACTTACCTCGGAATTCGAAACAAGCGTGAACATGTCTTGCCTGCAAAGTGATAACAAAAAAGAAATATGGCCGCTATTGAAGACACAATTTATGCGCACATACCTCGTCTAAGACGAGACGATATTTGCACACATGCAAATTTTGGCAGTCTTGGAATAGCATAAAAAGTGGGGTGCCAGCAAGAAAAGAAAAAGTCATTTGGCGGACTGCGTATGTTAGAGTTGGACATATGAATTGACAGACAGACAAAGAGGAAGTAGAAGTGGGTGTGGCTGAGTCGGTGGCTGTTTCACAACTGCCCAGTGTAACGACTGAGAAAGGGAGCCACGCAATCCATTTCCTTGAGGCGACCGAAGAAGAAGAAAAAGAGCTGGCCTGCTGGCAAGCATCGCACTGCACATTTTGAACCCCCTTCATCATCATTTATTTTTCTCTACAACCCTGTCAGTGATGGATTGTTTTGGCTGAAATTATTATATAAGAGACACAAAAACAGTATGGTTGCAAGGATAGAAAGGTGAAGATGTCTCAGCACTCCCATATTCCTTAGCGAGACAGGCCACCATGTGGTGATCGGTAGTTGATCAACCTGTCCTCTATTCTCTCTATACCTTCTCACTTCCTCCCACAAAATGCTGCTGTTGCCGCCACTACTACTGTGTCACTCCCACTGAAATAAGTGAGGAAAAGAAACCTAAAAAAATTTGCCTATTGTTCATTAAGTCTGTGATGCAGCATTGGGGCCTGAAGAATTGCCAATAGACTATTAGAGGACAGAGATGACATGAAACAATATATGCATACAAGTCATGTATACAACCCATTGTTAAAGATGTTGGAAAAAGAGTTGATTCCCTGTAAATACCTGACTCCTCTTGCTATCCTTTACCTTTACAAGAACCAGATCAGGCCAAAAATGGATTACTGCTGTCATATATGAGCAGGAGCCGCGCAGACTTCACTTTTCAGTCTTGATAGAGACCAAAAGCACCTCCCCATACCTGTGGGTGACAAATTATTTTCCACCCTAAAACCCTTTTCGCGCAAACAAAATGTCACTGCTCTATAGCTATTTCCACGGAGAGTGTTCAGATGAACCAGATTCCTTAGTACCAGTTCTAACCTTTGTGTCTAAGACCCACCATGACATACAGATTATAGCAAACCAACCTCATTCTCTTTGTATTCCATTGAGGAGATGCAAGTTCCACTTGAGCAGCAGCTTCCCACAAATCACTGCTTTGTAGAACGGACTCCCAAGAGGACGTTTCCCTGATCATTACAATCTTAACCTGTTCAAGTCTAGGATTAACTGTTATCTTCCCCACATACCCGCATAAACTGTGCCTCTTACTTTGTAACCCTCTACCTCAAGTGGCTCCCAGTCTTTTTACAAGATGAAACTCACTGCAAAAAATGTTGGACTAACATCTCATCTCTTCCTTACTATCAATCCTGCTCATCTACAACATGTGGCTGGCAATACAAACAGATGTCATCAGAACCACATGATGGATAGGTCTGTCCCATGCCAAAGGTGGACTAGAACTGGCTCCCTTGATCCCAAGCATGACAATATAGACTAGCAACTGGATACACCCCATGAGCGGCTTTGTTGTCACTTGGTCTCAAAGGTCCTCATCCACACATTTTTCTGTTTCCCTTCAGCAAAAGTGGATGCTACTTAGAAACTGTTAAAGAAACCATTGAGATTGAGATAAAAATGACACTTTTCTCTTCTGTGTGAGTGTCCCAACCATAGCATCATATAATAACAGAATATAGAGACTTTTATTTTGCATTATGGATAAACTAGACATGCACAATGGAATGAGAACAATCTAGCTCTGTAGGTGAAATAAAGGGTTCAGTTCAAAATTTGCTGATGGTTAACTGGATTGACAAGTACCTGATGAAGGTCAAAGGGCACAATGGCCAAAATATGATAATAACAAGACAGGGACATTAGTCCAAATGTAAGTAATATAAACTCCTCGGAAAATAGACAGAAAAAAAGACAAGTAGGCTTCAAACAACAAATACAGATACACAGTGAGATTCAAACTCACTTTAGATGTGACAGAGGAAGGGGATTAAGCTTTCTATTTTTTATTATCTGTCATTCATTTTAAAAACTAATAAAATGTGAACTTTGCCTTTTGAAAAAAGATTGATGATAGGTTAAATCATGTAAAAGCAACCACGAGTCGTCTACCCAGGGGTGGCTGCTTATCAATGAAAATTTTTCCAGCTAGGCAAAAATAATAATATAATGATATATAAATTGGATCATTGTATGTAGTTGTGATGTCATTGATACAAGGGAGAAAAGTTTTCAAAGTAGATGTGCTTAATATGAAACTTTGGAGTATGACACATTTTTTGAATTATACACAAAGTTACATTTCTTTATTTCTATTAATCTATCAATCATCAGTAATTTTTTGATAATTTTAGATGAGGATTTCATTTATTTCCTTTCTTTTATTAGATGAAATATTGTCAGCCATTATTATTAATTTTTTGAAGATTTACTTCTTCATTTTGTATTAGATGGAAAAGCTCATTGTCCACCATTGTTGGCATTTACTTCCATCTTCCTTTTTAGCAACTTTTTACCCCAACTTTAATGAAGCTTTCAATTCTACAACAGTAGAAACATACAGATGAAGAACCAGAGTAAAAAAAAAGATTCAATACAAAGCAACAAAAAAAACTTAAGCTGAAAATAATTATTAATTATCACTTGAGATTGAGCAAAATTTAGAGAATCTCTAATGCCTAAATTCTAACAAATGTTTTACAACCCAATTCCCTGCTATCTCTATCAAATATCCATGGGTTACTGGGAGAATAACATATGGTTCTTCAAGTGATAAGATTCTGCTCCCTCTCCCCCCCCTTGAACTTTAACCTGCAAGGTCAAATGAGAGGGTGGAAAC